GGTCTTGTCAAAGTGAACGATTCGGAGTGGTTAAGACAATTTTGTAGTCGGCATCAGTCAAGCAAATATTACCGTTACTGTATAAGTCGATAATAAGGTTGTACTTCTCTGTGGCGTTGCCGATGACGATTTCAATAACTCTGTCGTTGCCTATTTGGTTGACTCGAAGAAGTCGTTTCTTGTTTAAGTATTTCCTAAGACGAGAAGTGAAGTTGTTTGGGGTGTCAGATTTATCTCTGTTGTATTGAGTAAGGTGAACACGAACACCAGACTCGATCACAATAAACTCCTTGAGATCCGTCTTAGAAAGTTTGATGACGTAAAGTCTTCGATTAATGTCGTAAACAGTATTCACGTTCATGTCTGTCTGTTAGTTCATTATAGAAATTTGTGATATAATATAGTAAAACACACCTAAAAGTCTTGAATTCATCTCACCAACAATCGACTTAATCTCAAGTGGTGACATCCACTTTCGTGCCTTCTTAAATTTCTGACTCATAATGCTTTTTTGAGTTAATATTTCTTTTTGTGTTTCCAAAGACAAACTTCAATATAGTTATTATGAAGACTTAATTGTTTATTATTTTAATTAATTATAAAATAATATTTAAAATAGTTTTTGATTATTTAACCTATTCGTTTATTATATTTTATAATTATTTAACTATATTATATTTTGTTATTCAAGTAATTAAAAATTATAGTAATAAAAAAATAATTAAATGTTTTTAATAACATTTTTGAAATAAAAAAGTGAACAAGAGTTCAAAATAATTGTTTTCCAATAATACTTTTTATCAAATACTTAATAACAAATGTATTATTGGTATAAAATAATAGTTTTGATAATTAATTAATAATTATAATATTATTATAATTATTTTTTTTAAAACAGATACCTTTTAAACTTCGTAAAACATCATAAGAAAAATAAAAGTCAACTTTTCATAAATGTGAATTCCGTTTTTTTACAGCTTCATTTATTGCAACAAATAGGGAAATCTGATGTTTTTCATATTTCTTTTTTTGGAAAAATAGTGATTTTTTCTTTACCAATATAAAAAAAGCGAATAATAATAATCAAAAATATTTGAACAATTCTTAATTTTTATTTTGAATTGTTTATAGCTATATTTATTGTAAAATGCCGGGAAACAATAATAAATAAAAAATAACAACAAATAATATAAATCATCGGCAAAATTATATAAGTAATCCAATCATTAAATATCAAAACTTTTTATAAATATAAACAATCTGCCTTTTTAATTTTCATGACCCCGAAATGAATAAACACGCATTTGCAATCGTAACTAACCATCATTTTTGTATTACTAATTTTTATTATAATTATTATAATTAAATCCATGAGAAAAGGGAGATACCGAATTATTAAAGAATCATAAAAACAAATATGCCTCCAATATGGAACGAAGTATCTAGAAGATGAAGATCTTTTCAAAAAACCAAAAACGAGATTTTTGGTTTTTTAAGAAAACCTACATCTCTAGATATCAATTAAATGGTGGAGAACAACAATCCAATTCACAAAATATGTGTAGTTGGTGACGAGAAAGTCGGGAAGACTACTTTAATTCGGTACTTATGCACCGGATCAATATCTTCAACTGATTTGGATGACAACACGATGATACTTCCTACAAAGATTAATCTGCACGATGTCAATCTTCTCTTTTGTGATTGTATCCAAACAGACTCTAACGGCACTTTCTTTAATAATACAGAAGTAGTGCTCTTAATGTTCGCTCTCGACAACAAGAACAGTTTCATCAATGTTTCAGAGTGGCTCAAATACGTTCAGGGGTACATCCCCAATCCATTCAAATATGCAATAGTAGCAACTTGTTCCGACAAGCCCCGTGTAGTCAGTGCTGAAGAAGGGCGATTAGTCGCGGAAAAAGTTAATGCACCGTATTTGGAAATCTCACTAAAATCATTCGATGGCTTAGTCGATGTCATGCAATTCATCTACGAAAACATCTCGGTCAGATTTTACCCACAAAGTCCTCCAAAAAGCCCAAAGAGGATTCACAGTCCAATTCTTTCGCGTGTTATCCATTTCTAGTCGTTCACCAACTTAAATTCGCTCGTTAGTTTCTCAACAAATTAACGAGCGAATTTAACGAAACGTTGATGTAATTTATTTTTATTAATTTTAGTTGTTTATTCTAAATATTGGTACTGTTTTTAATAAACTATAATAATGGTACACTTTATTATACGACATACTTCTCAAATTTGTAAATTTGATGACAAAAAAAAGAACTCAGCCCGAAACATCTCGACATATAAAAACCTATAAATAGATAATATATGAACTATACTATATTAGAACCATCATATTGAACCAAATAGAACTTGAAAGGAAATCAAGATGCAGGTACTGGTGAGCCACTTAATATCGTTATTTCTTGGAATCAGCATATTGTGTCTGGGCGTGTTTCAATTAATTCAGTGCGACTTTTCGATGTTGACTGGGTTTGGTATCAGTCGAATCTTGTTGTCGCTAACCCTAGTCTTTTTTGGCATCTTTACATGCCTCTCACAATTTCTCATTACGATTCCCCCTGTAGAGAAGTCCTGGAAAAATATTATGGTAGAGACCAATTACACTGGGCCGACTATTAAAAAGCGAATAACACACACATTTGCAGTGGAGTTATACAATTACTTCCGAACGGGGAACGGTGTTGCCAAATTAAACAAACGAGACGTGTATCGTATTATAGAGGAAGGCGTAGCTGTTCTTCAAACCCGAGACAGTCTGACTCGAATCACCTTGAAACAAGGGGAAAAGATTACTTTAGTTGGAGATATCCATGGACAATTCTTTGATTTGTGTACTATATTTCGAGACAATGGATTACCGTCATCGGACAATCCATATCTCTTTAATGGGGATCTAGTTGATCGTGGTAAATTTTCTGTGGAGAATGTATTAGTCCTTTTCAGCTTTATGATATCGAATCCGGAGAGTGTGTATATAGCAAAAGGGAATCATGAGACTACGGACGTCAATTGGGGGTATGGGTTCCGGTATGAAGTCTTATCCAAATATGATAATGACACTTTCATGATGATGACGACCGCACTCCGATGGCTGCCATACGCTCATTTGATTAATAATAAAGTGTTTATAGTCCATGGGGGGTTACCCCCTGTCCATTTCAAATTAGAACAAATTAATGATTTAGAGCGGGGAGTCGATCCCTGTGAAAATTCATTTGAGATGGAACTCTTGTGGAATGACCCGATGATAAAGAATGGGAGTAAACCAAGTTATAGAGGGGCTGGTCACTTATTTGGACCTGATGTGGTCGATCGGTTTCTTGAAGAAAACAAACTCGACTTGGTCATCCGAAGCCATGAATTAAAGGCAGAGGGGTTCGACTACTTCGATAATAAGAAAATGATGACGTTATTCTCGGCACCTAATTATAGCGGAATTAACCAAAATAAAGGCGCGTACGTCAAAATGAAATGTGCCGATAAAATCGAGTTCCAAGTCGTCCAATTCTCCGCAGCAAAGAAACAACCCGATATTAATTTGGCTCCTAATGAAACTATTGAAATAGTTCAAGAGGAAATAGATGGGGAATCACTGTTTGGAACTCTCGCGTCATTCTCCGTTATCTCCCTTCTCATTTTCGCGATTGTAAACGCTCTTTAGTTTAGTATTGGTTATTTTTTTATTTTATTTTTTATAAAATAATTAATGAGTCGTTTTTTTTGTAATGCAGAGGAAATTCAGTGTTTTTATTTAACGAGTTTTTTTGATTATAAGATTTCAACTCGTTAATTTTAAAACGGTGGTAATTTTTTAATTACTATAATTGAAACTACATATTTAATTCATTTGATTATATTAAAAATATTATTTTTTTTTGTTATTCAATAAATGGTTATAATAATAAACAATAATAAATGATAGTTATACAAACAGATATTACAAAATCAGTTTTTGTATTATATACAAATAATATCATTCTGATAATTAAATGATACAGCACAAAAAAGTTAATAAAAAAAGTGAGAAAGTGTTCAAGGAAAAGAATACAAAACGAACTGAGATACGATATTGATTACTTTGATGATCAACCCATATTACTACGATTCCCCTCAAAAAGTTTCAACGAACCAACACCAAGAAGACAGCTGGGAAGAGACAAAAAAAGATTTAATGAAAGGGCCATATCTTCTAAAACGGAAGACTGGTGGACCAGAGGAGGACGAGAGTTCTGACAGAGTGATGATGATAGTTGCTATCACTTTAATCTCCGTTGCATTCTTATCCACACTATACGCCTTTTTCCATCTCCCCCTCGTCTTCTTCTTAACCACACCAATCCCACTCTTCACTTTCGCGTGTTTAGTCTTCGCTTATTACAAAGCCGTCACGACTGACCCGGGGAGATGTGTCGGGTACAATCCAAATAAGTCTGAAGAAGACAAGAAAGCTGCAATAGAACGGGAGACGTTTGGTAAAGAAAAAGGCTTTAAAATAGTCGATATAGGGTATCCAGTAAGGTACTGTACAACGTGTCAGGGGTTTAGGTGTGAGAGAGCTTATCACTGCAAGAAGTGCGGTTCATGTATCAAGAAGAGAGATGTTTGTTATTTCTATAATCTATAAGATATAGTATAAATGTTCTATTGACTGACAAGTAGCATGTTTGTTAATTGTTGTATCAGTAATTATAATAAAACAAATTAATAATTATAATATGGTATTTTATACTTGAGAGAAGACAACGTATTTATATAAAGCATTGTCCGTGGATTTCACAGTGTGTTGGAGAGAACAATTTGAGATATTTTGTACAGTTTTTGATGCTCGTTCCGCTTAACTGTCTTTTTGGAGTTTTAATTCAGATTGGATATATCATCAAAATGCTGGCAGGTTTCGGGAAAGGGGAGTATTCTGCCGACGTGTTTTTTATGATAATTGCTGTGGTAATCACGATAATCATGTTTTCAATGGGATTTGCAGTCGGTTTGTTTTACTATAATTGTTACTTTAGCAACTAGTTCTAATAACCAGCTACTCTCATGGTCAATCACGTCGGAATGGTTCTGGAAAATACAACATCGATGGAGGAGATTGAGAAGACGAGATATGATTACTTGACGCATGACAAAGCTCCGTTTTTCCCAAGTTATTCAACAACAAAATACAGAAATTGGAAAGAGGTAATGGGGGGTAATGTATTAGTGTGGTTGATCCCATTTTTTGCAAACCCAAACAGCACAGAAAGTAAAAATACGGTCGATGTCTTGGTCGATGATCAGAATGTAGAAGTCAATATACAGAATGAGTGATTTTTATTTTTATAAATTGAGATACTAATAATTATAATTATTTCTACAATCTCCAATGAGATTGAAAAGGATGGAATAATCAAACATCTAAGAACGAAAAAAAATGTCAGTGAAACATGATACTCACCTTTGCGATTGTTATTATCGTTGTTTTGGGAATTGCAATTACCGTCTCGTTGAAACGAATGCTATTCACACCCAGAAGTATACCATTTGTGGTCAATTCATTGGGTCACTACACCATCCCTATCTCTTTGACTTCAGAAGGAGATTGCAGTGCGACTATCGTGTCGTCCGGACCATCATCTCAATCGCTGTTATTAAAAACACACGTGATACGTATTGAACAAGTGAGGAGAGTTGAAAAGGTGGATGACAAAATTGTGGCGTTGTTTGACCCGCCCACAAATTGTGTCACACAACCTATTTACTTAACAACATCAGACGTGAATAGAGAGTGTGTGTTTAACTTGTTGTCAAACCCATCACCACACCCACCTATTGACCCGTTCAATTTCGTACTTTCAAATTTATTCAAAAGTCTTCCTTCGATGCTGACAAGCGTATCGCCAATTGTCGCTTTCGTAAACAGCACAATTGCATCTTCAAATTTGTTACCATCATTCATAAAAAGTCTTAATGTCAGTGTAATTGACATTTCGTTATTTACACCACTCATTTCAAGTATTGATAGAGTCACCTCACAAGACTACAAAACAACATCCACTGATTTCAAAATTGCGGTAACATCACATACACCAATTACTGTGTACTTTGACGGTTCTGTCTCACCTCCCTTGCAAAGGCAACAACATTCATTTCATGTTAAATACATGATGAATTTCTCTGGTGATATTAGGGTGAAGTTGTTGGACCCTCCGTGTAGGTCCTTATACTTTTCATTTGACTCAACGCCCTCAATTGTTGGAGACTTTGCGTTAATGAGCGAAGCTCATTGGGTGAAAAAGTATGCTTTCCGCTCTATCATGAAAGTTATGTTTGTTCATATCACACACTCCACAATAACCAATTAACAAATAGCCAACTTACCAAAAACGTCTTGTTGGAACACTTCAACTATCCCAACACAACATTGATACCTTTATAATCGATCATGTCATAAAAACCTTTATTTGATGTTTGACTGTTTTGTTATTGAACAGACTGGAAAATAATACAACAAAATATATCTATTTACAATCAACTTTTTTGTTTGTAAATTTGAAAAATAATTGCAACACAACTTAAAATTCCAACAATGAATTAAAATAATTTAAACCACATAGTCAAAACGCAAAACCCGAACACGCCAAGTGGGACTAACAAGAAGAAACTGAAGTACCAACCCAACATCAAAGCTGCTGACAATGTGAATAGAAACCATGAAAAAGACAATAACGTAATAACAGTTCTCCCTTCGTTTTCTGTTCCATTTTCATATTCGAACGCATAGAGTAATAAATATAACACTTTTGATTTTGTGTAAAAGAATGCAAATTCAGATACATTATATTCTTTGTTAAAAAACATGGCATTAAGTGATATTACCAAGTAAAGGATAGAAACCACTAAAGACATTGTTGTAAACGCGTTTGTCACTTTAAAACCCCCGTAACTGAAAAATCCACAGAATGAAAAGAGAGCTACAATGAATAGAATTGTCATCTTGTCATATATACGATTAAACATCAGACACACAAACGCCATAATAGCTATACAGTCAAAGATAACGACAATTTCATACTTAAAAGAAACTAACGTGTCTGACAATACATTTCCAAAAACAGCACAACTTATAAACACTTTGAAGAAAACATACGAAAATAAAATCATGATATACACAAGTCCAACTTTGTTCACTTCGACATGTTTGAGATTCATTTTGTCAATGTATTTTGTTGGTAAACGAATTCCTTTGACTTTTTGAATTGTTTTCAAATTATCAAGTTCATCCCAATTGGTGACTTTAGCGTTGTTATTCAACATTTTGATGTTCTCTATCGATTTTGGGAGAGTCACATGTGAACACAAAATTGTTGCGGTCGTCACTTTATCGAAAACATTATATTCACCACTCGTTCGAAAAGTTAACTCGTGCGGATAATACAACTTTTGGTATTCAATTTTATCATATTCATTTTGAATATTGAAATAGTCTGTTCTAAATGAAGTTGTGATTACATAAGGACCAAAAGATCCATCAATATAAAAAAATAAATTGTAATTACAATGATTTTCCAAATCATTGAACTGTTCCAAAAAGTTGAAATGTGTGTCATTTGTATACACAACTTCGTTGTTATGAAAAGAGAAAGCAATAATTACACGAATGCCTTGTCTGATTTTCACATTTAAAAAATTTAATTTAAAACGAGAAAAATCTGTTGTATCTGTGATACACACTTCTATTGTTTTTAGACGTGGAAAATCTTCAAAATTCACAATTTCATTTTCTGTAAAGAATTTTTGTGAAAAGACTATTTTTTCTGTAATAAATGTGTTTTGTGGAATATCGTCATGGGTGTTAATAAATAACACTTTCTTTGACATGTTTTGATGGTATCCAGAATTCATCCCACAAAGATAATTGAAAAGTGATGTGAAGTCAATTTGAGGATTGAAAACATTATCGATGTAATTAATAATAGTTAATTTTGGAAATTTTGATAATGTACTTTCTTTGACCTGAAAAGTGTTATCAAAAACAGCTTTTGTAATACACAAAGTCTCTATGTTTGGAAGACATTTAACAAGCTTCTCAAGTAATTTATAAGTGTTTATATAATCATGCATTTCAGTATTTGTCCAACAATTTGTTTTCATGGAAGAACAACACAACTTTGTGGAATGTGAAACTTAAAGAAAATTGAAGAGATCATAAACTGGTAAATAATACACCACATTCATAAGATAAACAGATTCTAATCTTACCATTATTTGTAATTCTTATGTTTGAATTACTTAGTATTACACGGCTCTTTATTAGGGATGAATTATATTTCATTCATCACATATAAAAATCTTTTTGTTTGAATTTTAACGAATTTGTTTTATTTGTATATAATATGATATAAATTGAGTAATTAATATAAATGATTATTTAAGTTAAATGATTTAATAATGATCAAAATAGTAATTATGGAGTGTATGTATTGCTATGTTTCTTATGCTTTGAATAAATATATCAACAACTTCTTTTCACAAATAATTGGTTATTAAAATAATAATCAACAAATTAATAGTTTTTAAATAGTTTATTACTAGAATATATTTTTAATATATATCTAATATATTATATTATACTTTAAAAATATTTTTTAATTAATAAATATAATAATTTTACTACTTTTTGAAAAAATTTTAAAATAGAAATTAATAGAGTGATATCTAAATATGTTATTAGAATTCAAAATTGTCAAACAAAACAGTAATAGTTACTATTAATATTTTTAGTAAAAAAAACTATTAAAAATATATTAAATTGCATATCTATCTAAATTGAATAAATATCTATCTATCTAACCATAATAGAAACAATCAGAATAAACTAGAGATACTAAAAGAAAACTGAACTAATTAATATTAATGTATTTTGTTCTTCTTCTAATTGTCTCTTTGGCTGTTTTAGCCGATGTAGACATGTGCCATGTCACCAGAACAAAGTACCAAATTGCCGCTGATGGATATACATTAAAATATGTCCAGTTAGTAGCACGTCATGGTGATAGAGCCCCCGGGGATTCATATGATTCAGACAATGGCAACTTTGATTGTGGGTATGTTGAAGAGTCTCACGTGTATTCTGGTGATGGAGTGAAAGTGTCACACACTGCTTCTACAAAGAGGGGATTAGTTGACAAAAAATGGAACCCATACGCAACCGACTTTTATTGGAAAGGGTCATGTGAGTCTTCTCAATTAACTCCAGAAGGTATTTCCATGCATTATTCTTTAGGTACTCATATCGATGAAATATATCGTATCACCTTAAAACTCCTTCCAACTATTTTCGACCCTGCGATCGTCAAAATTAGGACAAGCGCTAAGACTCGAACCATTCAGAGCACTCAAGCACTTTTCCAAACACTTTACCCAATTGAAAGAAGAGGAAGTAACGTCGACATAGAGTTCATCACAAGACCATACGAAATCGAAACGATGCGACCGAACCCTAGTTGTTGTCCGATCATTTCTTCAATTGAAAAAGGATATTTGGATAACGAAGAACTGATCAAGAGAAGAGCACAGCAACCGTTTGCTGATGCTTTTCAGAAATTGAAGTATGTGACGGGGTTTTCGTCTGATGCGCCATATTTGTATGACTACGTCGATATCATCACACCAAGAGTGTGCCACGACCAACCACTCCCTCGTAAAATATTAGTCAATTTTACTATGGACGATTACAACGCTCTTGTCGATGAATATTTGTGGGAAAACACACTGTTTTTCAGTAAGGAACTTTCGGTATATCAAAGTGGGTTCTTTGTTGAAGAGATGTTAAATGACTACACAGAAGCTTTAAAGAACAAAGTCGTCTATCAACAGTACACAGCACATGATACTACTATATATGGACTGTTGGCTCTTCTTGGAGAAGAAACAACACAACCGATTCAGTACGCCTCTACTCTTGCTTTTGAATATTATAATAAAGCGGACGAAATGTATGTTAGAGTATTGTTGAATGACAAAGTACTCAAGTTAAATGATATTTGCATCGAAGTTGATGGGATGTGTAAATATAGCGATTTTGAGACAAAGATGAAAGCACTTATTCCGAAGTACGAAGATTGCCAAGTTAAAGATTCAATACACAGAACACTCTCAAGAAAGGGGTGGTATACTTACAATTGATTCGTTTTATATTCTGTTGAAGAGGAAATGCAATTTAATAAATGAATTTATTAAATTAATCATTAGTTCAATATTATTTTAATATGGTTTTGTCCACTTTTAAAAATTTTTAAAAAGAATTTCGTTTGAGTTTTCTTCTTTTTTGATCAACTCCTCTTTATTTCTTCATTCCCATTTCTTACTTGCTAACGCCCATTATAATAACACACGTGTGATATGAGGCTGTTTTATTTATAGAAACTATTATTTTATAACAAAAATATTAATATATTAATATATGTTTTTTGTGAATTGAAGTAATTGGTGTTTTGGGAAGAAACAGAAATCATCTGTGAATTGATAGAGAGTCAAGAGCCAATATCTGTGAAATACCGAATCGTAGAACTCATATATAACTTACTCATTACTACGAAATGACTATGGACCCTGTTAAAGCTAAAAAGGTGTTTGAGACATACGCCACGGACAAGTTTTTAGATAAAAGTAAATTCAAAGAGGCACTTGGTGCACTTTTTGAGGTCGACTATAAAGATGAAAATATTGACGAGGCGTTTGAGGACCTATTTAAAATGGCGGACGGCAAAGGGATTTTCAATAAAAAAGATAGCAAAATCAATTATAGTGAGTTCAACAATTTGTGCAAATTACTTCCAGCAAAGTGGGAATGTCCAAAACAAGTTATTTTGACTCTCCTATTTAGACTAGCTGATACTAACAATAGTGGTAAATTGAACAAAAAAGAGTTCGCTTCATATATCAAAAAGACTTCTATTGATATGAACAATGATGATATGCTTGTTGTGTATGAGCGATTGGATTCAAACGGTGATGGTAAGATAACTTATGATGAGTTCATCCAATTGTATGGGCTTAGTGATAATTAACTCATTCAATAAATACTTTGTTTATTATATTGAAATGGTATAATTTATTAACATCTGTATTATTATATATTGGTTATTTCAACTATAATTATTTGTTCTATTTAAATCTAAAAATCATACTATAAATTATACCACTAAAATTTATTATAATAATATACTATAAACAATTAAAACTTTTCATATTTTCAAATTATTATTTAAAATGATAAAAGTATTAAATAAACATAACTAATTTTTTTCTTTTTCAAATGATATAACTCTAATAACAAGTAAAACTATTTATGTTTAGAAAAATTATTGAAAATTAAGAATCTAAAAAGTGCAATCTTTTTCAAGTCACTCAAGTTTTTAAGTAATCTTTTTAAAATCACAATGATTAGTAAAGTTATCATATAATTATATTATAATTACACTTTTTCAGCCATCTATTTTTATCACTAATTTTTGTAAAAAGTGTGAACAATATCACAAAGAAAAGAAGTAAAAAAGCAAAGTAAAATACAACCAGAAAAAACTTCATCTTAGAAAGAAAAAAAAGAGAAAGCAAACAATGAGCAAACTAGACAGCTACAGTTTGATGATCGTTTCAAAATACTTCACTTCGTTTACTGACTTTGTGAACACTGTTTTTGTGAACAAAAAGTTTCAAGAAACGATGGAAAAGTTCCACTTCAATCCAATTCCACTCACAATTCAACAACGGAAGTTTTTCCCCAGTCTCGAGACGTGCTTTCTCTATTCCAAAACCGACAAGAGGTACAATGATGGGTATATTGAAAAGCAAGAAATCTGGTATAAAATAAATTACACAACGAGTTGTCAAGAGTCGCGTAACATATGTCGCCGAGTGGAATACACACAAAGTGAACGACTTTGGAATGGGATAGATATCCCAACCAAAGTCAATATCTTAGGTGAAAAGTGTTATTATGGCACAAAAACGTTGCAAGAGTTTCATGTGAGTTCGTCGATATGTGGGTTAGGCAATTATTGTTTCGCGTGGTGCTCCTATTTAACTTCTGTCACTCTTCCCGACAAAGTCACTTCCCTTGGTAACGGCTGTTTTTTAAAATGTGAGCGATTGATCAAATTAAAAATTCCTCCGTTTATTAAAACACTTGGCGAGAGCACTTTTTCCTTTTGTGAAAAGCTAGCCAAAGTGGAGTTACCAAAACATTTAGAGCGGATCGAACAGTGGTGTTTCGATGGATGTTCTTCACTCAGTACACTTGAATTTCCTAACACGTTAACTTCTATAGGAAATCGATGTTTCAAACATTGTCCATTCACTTACATCACCCTCCCAGACTCTTTACTCACACTCGGACATAACACTTTTTCAACTAACGAGTGTTTAACTGCAATAACACTCTCAACCAATTTGAAAAGTCTCGGGACTGAATGCTTTGGGGGGTGCAAAAAGCTCGTTGAAATAGTTATGCCTCAAAGCTTGACAAAACTCCCCCATCGGACGTTTTTCAATTGTTTCAAGTTACGTGGAGTGACTGTTTCAACCGACTTAAAGAGTTTAGGTGAGGATTGTTTCCACAATTGCTCGAATTTAAAGACCATTCAGAATTTACCAGAAGAAGTGGACTATGCCGTTGGGTGCTTTTTTAATTGTACGGCACTCGCACTTCCATTTCCATCACCACACAAATGCTTTGGAAAAGCATCATTCAACGATCAACACCTTGCGGAGTTCCATGGGATGTGATTATATGATTATTCCACTTCGAGTGTTTTAATTTGTTTATTATTTGTGTTATTCGTTGATCGACTTGTTTTGAAACGAATTGCATGGAAGATGAATTAAGCGGTGAGCTCCTCAATAGTGATGTCTTTCACATCGGACAAGATGGTGATCTTGAACGGGGCGTAGGTGTCTTGTTTCATTGTTGAAGGTACAGCAATGACGTCCAATCCATCGTCAGGGTCGACTTCAAAGCACGTGAAGACATTTTTATTTTTGACCCAAGCCTCTGGCAAGTTGATTAAGTTGTCTTCATTCACATCGTCAGCCTCCAAATGAGCACCGGTGTCAACAAAGATTGGTAACCCTATCGACTCGATTTTACCAGATGTTCCAATGAACTGTGACAACAAGAAGATGATGTCTTTGCACTCTTCCCCGTTGTATTTGGCTTTAATAACATACTGAGGATTGGTCACAAAGGCCTCTGGGTTATTCACGTTTCCACCAGCAGTACCTTCCTCCCACTTTCCTTCAGCAACGACCATATTTGACCACTGTCTGGTCAACTCTTTGACTTCGATTTTCTCTTGTGAATATATTCTGATGATAAACTCACCTTCGAGCTTTTCCTCAGATGAACATGGGACTAAGATATACTCTCCCTTCTTTAATGTGAAATTCTTCCCAACACAGACATATGAAATTAACGTTTTGGTCTCATCCGCGAGCTCACCAAAGTCGATTTCCTTGCGATCACTTTGTTTGCAATTAAATAAGTAGAACCCCATCTTATGTTTGTTGTCTGCTTGTTCCATAGTGACAGACACTTTGACATCTTTCTCCGTCTTTAAGAAGTACTGGAAGTTGTGGTAGAACTCAAATGGACTTCCTCTATCTGCTCCTCCATTGGTCACTTTATCCCACACCTTCTTCTCTTCAAAGACTTCCCACTTCTTCGACAAGTTGGCGGGGACAAATTCAATTCCTTCCATGTGTTCACACGACGCAGCTATTTGGAACTTCCCATGTAACTTCTCTGGATTCACTTCAGAGACTTTGTTCATGTTAGTTGGGATGATCACATAACTTCCCGCGTCAAGTTCAAAGCTTTGTTCGATTTCATTCGAAGCTTTTGTGCTCAAGAAGTTGTCGTCGATTTTGATCACTTCATTTGGGTCATATAAAGTGAGTGGACATCCTTCATAGAACAACGCATCATATTTGACGATGAAGTACGTGACTCTGTTAGTCGTGATGTCTTGCTTCAAGCAGATTTTGACGTGCATTTTCGAAGACAAAGTTAACAAATATTGTGGGTTCTCGTACCACTTAGGGTTACCGATGATATTTCCAGCGTCCATTCCAGGCTTCCAAACACCTTCATGGATGATACCAACCATTTTTTTCTCTTCGACGGGAACGGGGGTGAAGACAATCGAAACGTTAAATTGAGCACATTTGTCACTCTTCTTTTTCTTTCCTTCTTCTTTCACTTCAGTTTGTTTGACTTCTCCAATGTCTGGTTCTATAATGTTCTTGGGCTTTTTAATAGACTGAATGTAATGCATTTTACCATCAGATTCCTTCAAATCGGCCAAACACAGTTGGTGGAAACCAACACACTTTGCACCAATGAGTCTTGGTTTATACAAGAAAAAGTGGATGTTAGCGCGTGGGTTTTGGACTGGGAAGTAGAGCGTTTCGTTCACGTGTAAGTTCTTCGACGCTTTATTTTTCTTAGTAAAATATGTCAAACTGTCGACATCACATACAATATACCCAACAGTGTCTTCTTTCACATCTTCAAATTTGACTGTTAACATCCCAACTTTCCCCATCTTCGGTTCATGCCCCGGTTGTGGTTGTGTTGCTTTGCTCATGTTTTACTGTTACAAGTTCCAAACGAAGTTTAGTATTATTTTGGGATAGAGGTGATCTTACTTCTTATTTTAAGTTCTATTCATTTTTGGTTGGACTTTGACGGATATTTTCAAGTTTTACTTGCAGTGGTTTCAAGTAAAATTCTTGATTCATTATAGTTTTATTTATAATTCTATTTTAATTGAATTGTCACTTCTTTGTTTTTTCCTTTTTTCATAAAAATTGGTTTTGAGGAATTAAAAAAACTTAAGTTCTGTCTTCTTTGTCATTTGTGCTTTATGGTAATATTTTCATATAAAACAACTATTGATTTGGTTATACTAAGATGAGAGTATTAATAGCATCCACGTCATTTTTAATTATCAAGTATAGTTTTGTAATTATAAATTATTATTAAAAAAATGGTTCTTACTAAAAATAAAAATGAAACAAACCATTAATTAATTAATATAAACAATATAATAAAAACTATTTTTATTAATAAAAATTATAATATTTTAGTACCAAGAAAAAAAGAAAAAGGAACTCAAAACAGTGTTAATGTTTCTTCTATTATATCTTGCCATTGTGACATTTGCATTTGACAAGAAGTGGTTACGCCCAATGGGAGACGTCGAGTGGTCTACATTTAGTCAAGCAACAGAAAAAGCGCAGCGCAGAAAATTACCGATATTAGGGTTTTTCTCTGGCTTAGAGTGTGCGCAGTGTAGTTCATATTTTGAAATGTTTAATTACCACCCAACCTTCAAACAAATTGCTAAAAGATTTGTTTTGGCTGCTTTGGATGAGACAGACCCGAGTTATAACATGTCTCCTTTAGACCAAGAGGGGTATTCCCCAAAATTTGTCTTCTTTGACTCGCATGGTAAAATATTAGACTTTTCGGGGTATGACGATCCTTTGCATAAGTACTTCTGCACAAACATCGAGTTCTTACTTGAAAAGATGGGTGATGTCGATGACTATGCCTTTGACCACAAAGATGAGTTGTAAACAATTTCTTTGATACATTGAATTAACTATTTTAATCTTTTTATTTATAAAGTACTATTAACTTAACTTAAAAGGTCAATCATCTTAATAAAATGGAATTCCACAGATTAAATCCTCAGTCTCTGATATGTATTTCAAGTCTTCTAAACTCAATTGCTCGGACGTACTTTTCTTTTTAAGTAACTTGATCTCATCACACCATTCAGTGATATATTGGTACACAAGATTTAAATTGTCAAGACCCATCTTCCAATTTTTTGAGTAACTCTTCTTGCTACATATTGCTATTCCAATACGTTTAATATCTCTTGTTATATCAATTATTCTTTTTGGTAACATATTGAAAAACACTTTTATTAACGTTTGGGAGTATTTTTCAATGGGAAGTTGTTTGGCCCATTTCATAACACTTGCTTTAGTTATAAATTTGTTTTTTCTGTCAATCAATATACTGTAGGTTAATACACTTGTATCTCTAACGTCTTTATTCTCGTGTTCCATTAGAGAGTAAAGCACTTCATCCATATCAAAGTCTGTGTTTTGATCAACAAGAAGTGTTTTTAAATTCAAAAGCACTTTCAAAATATCAGCCGACTGTTTTGAATTTTTCATCACATAAATTCCCCATGAAAATGCGTCTTTAGTATATTGAGGTGTTTTACTTTTCTTTGTAAGTATAGTGTTTAATTGACAAATAAACACGGCAACTTCGCATGTTATTGTCAAAGGTATGTCATTCACAACATCTATGATCTTCTGTAAGTTTTCATAAAACATGGGTTGCTTATTTGTGACCATCAAATCACATATATTCCCCAAACAATTTGTTATTTCCCCAATGTTTTGTACTTTTATACAGTCAGTTATTGGTAAGAAAAACTGTCTCCGGTTCGATAATATCTGCGACGTCTTTTTAATCGTCGTTTTGAGGATGTTGCATATCCCTTCACTAACCATCTCAACAATTTCCTCGTCCATCAAACGCTCTCCAGTTAACTTAACACACTTCTCCATCGACCGACACACAGCAACTCGAACCTTTTCATTCTCATCTGTACTCTGCCCAACTAATTCGACAAATATTTCTCTTAATACCTTCATCGCATCAATCACAGCAAACTCTCGTGGGTACGTTTGCAACTCGTAATACCACATTGACAGATACGCATTTGGTATTGCTTGGAGTGCTGTGGCTCGCACTTTAACTGGATTACCTGGTGTGATGAGTCGAATTAAAAGTTCCATATAAACTGGGAAGAACTTGTGCATATAAAGGGGAATAGTTTTACACAGTCTTGAATATGTTTCAATTGCAAGTCTCCTTAACTTCTCTTGTCTGTAGTTAATGTCACCCATTTGTATAATTAATGGATCAATTATACTTAACTTGGTACTTAGTGCATTTTCGTAATTCTCACTAACTTCCTTCAACTCACCAACTAATAATTTCCTCAATTTCTTGTTAATAAATAAATTCTTTTGCATCCTCTTCTCTACAATTTCTGCGTGTGTTTTTGCTATCTTCGAATACGCAACAAGAACTCTCCTAAACAAAATTTCATTGCCTTTCAAATTAAGTGATGAAATCGCCTTAAAGGTGGAATCAAATAAGTCAACAACACTATTTAATACCAATTCATTGCAATGATCAACACACATGGATAAGACACTGACTACCCTTTCCTTAATTTCTAAGTCTTCCACACTATTTGTCAAACAAGAGCATATACTCATTAAATATGGCACAACTGAAAATGAAAACAATGTGTTATGTTCTTTCAGTTTTGAAAGAATTACAGTCAAATCTCTCAACCCTTCTCGTCTCACAAAAAAGTCTGTTGTAAATAGCACTTCGTACATGTGTGTTGTCATTGTCGTTGCTTCTTCTTTATTGACGTCATTAAATTTCTTCCAAACGTCGCGAAATACAACCAAGGCATTCTCTTTCACCAACACATTCATGTCGGTCGTTAATTCAAGAATACAACTGAATACATTTCGAAAAGTCTTAATGTTTGTGAGTTCCAATGTGGTGATGTGCGAACAAACATTTAAAAACAAACACCGCGTTGTTGGAGAACTACATCCCTTACTTGTCCAAAAGCCCAACATCATATCAATGCCTATTGTCTCGTTGATACCCTTTGTATATGGATTTTCCAGTACCGATATAGCCATCATAAGACCAACTTCAACACTTTTGTTTGTTTCAGATAAAAGTGCTTTTATTTGATTCCACACATAGACCGTGATATGCTGAGATATCTCTCTAAATGTAAGAACAAATGGGATGTCAAATTGTTCATGTTGTGCTCTGAAGAATTTTCGGCAATCGGTTGACCCAAACCACTTTAAAAAAATTGGAAAGGTCTCTTGTAAACAGTTTATCAATTGTTGTGTTGGAGAAGAACTAAATTGGAAAGTAAGACTACTTGTCTCGAGTAACTGTAACTGAATTTGTCGACTTGGATGCTATTTTGGAGTATTATATTGATTTCCATGAGAACACATTCACAAGATGCATTGTCTATTCCACTATTTGAAATAATCGACTTTATGACTTTGAGACAATTGAGACTCTTCGCTTCATTTAGTGACACACTTACATATCGAATTCCATTTAAAAGTGCATTTATCAAGTTATTGGAATAACCATTTTGATATCTCAATTTCCTTTGTATGTCCCAAAACCTCCGCACCATCTCGTCGATTTTTAATGTTATAGAAAACGAAAGGATTGATAGAAATAGCCAATTGACATTTTTATTTTTGTTGGTAATTTCAGTGTTGGTTCTCTTCCACAATTCAAAGAAAAACGTGTGTGAGGGGTCGACCTCACTTTTCTCATATTGAGGTAAATGATCATTAAAAAATTAGACGAGTGGAAGGACTATTTTAGTGTTTGTAACACTTTTCATATTTTTTTTAAAATCTCAAACAAAATGGTGTGACTCTTTTCCATCTTTGTTACGTTCAATTTTCTTAATATAGTGTCGAAAAGGTCGACATAACACTCAATAACTTTATCGTCGACTTCTTTCTCAAATTTCAGTGCGACTTTCTCAAAACACGTGTCATAAATTCGTTTTGCTGTTTCATAGTTTTGTTTCATAAAAGCTTTTGTCTTGAGAAGGCAAAGTGACATGCATCTTATCTTCGCTTCTGTTTCATCTAAAATGAGTAAATGGCAATTTACTAATCAATCTATTTCATTTAATAATAAGTCGTTGTATTTCTTTTCGGCGTCTTCATACGTTATTCCTCTCGTTTTGTCATTCCCATTGAATAACCTCCACAAGACAGACAGTCCGTAGTGGTCATTCATTTCTTTTCTAAGTTACAATCAAAATTTAATTTCTATCCAATAAAAAGAAATCTTCGATATAATATAAAAGTTAAGTTGCATATCTATTAAACTAAAAATCAATGTAAGCAAAGCTTCGAACTTGATTTGGCGTCTCGTCCCATTGAAACACAACAACTGCTTTATTCTCATTGAAATTTCGAGGTAAAACAAATTGGGCATTTTGTTGGTGCTCTTTCAATTTGACGGACATATAACACTTTTTGAATGTCATAGCATCTAACACACAAATCAAGTCATTTTCTTGAACCGATACCGATGGTGGTATGGTCACTGTGAGTCGAGTCACTCCATTTGTAATCACCTTTTCGACGGTGAGATCAACGTCTCGGCCAATGGCAACATCAGTCGGACGATATAACTTGTGTACTGTTACAGAGAACCATCCCCACTCCTCTGTGAAGCATTGCAGATAGTATCGCCCATTGAGAACATCATCAAAACAAAAGTCAGTACTTTGATAGTCTAACTTAATCCGGGCAAATGGTTTTTCGTTCATAATTGGAGTGAAAAGACCAAGGTAAAGAGTGGATTCTTTTGCGAGTTCTGATAGCAATATGTTACCTCGCACTTCGCGTGTTGAATTATTAGTTTCGTCCAATGTTATTGTATAAGTGATAGTCATGGTTTATTTATGATATGTGGTTATCGTTTATTATCAAGTTTCAAAATATAGTTTTTAAATGGTAAATTAACAATTAAATATAATAATTCATTTTTAATGATAATAAATAATTAAATTATTGTCATTTGTTATAACATATATTCACTCATGTGATCATTGAAAATGGTGTTTTAAGACGCCATTCATTTCATTGTTCGTGACTATCAATACACTGTATTTAATTGTGGTAAGTGTGTATACTATTAATGAAGAATATGAAATTAATGATTTATTTTATAGAATAAAAGAATTAAATAAAAACTAAAAATAATTATAATATTACGAAAAGGGGGGTTAATTCATTGTTTCATTTTTGATTAAAACGAACGAATTTTACTAAACTGACACTAAAACTGCATTTTTAGTTTTTATCACATTCGTCACTTTTTTTAACATGTTTATTGTTTTATTGTTTTTTAATTCAGAATAGTTTGTCTATTTTATTTTATTATTGTGAAATAATAATTGAAACTTAAAATAATAGTTTATTATGTAATAACCTTCAAATACAAAACTCTAATTATTATTAACATTGTTTATTAGTTTATATTAATTTAACCGAAATTAATAACTATTGTTTGTACCAAATCTGTTATTTTTTTTATTATAATAAACTAGTATCATGTTACTACGTCAGAATTTATAATATATTTTTAGGAAGTACTTATTTTTTGGTTCTTTATCATTAGAATGTTGTTTTATAAAATATAAATATAGTTTATTTTAATTAAAATAACAATAGAACCCCAGAATTAATTCTTGTGTTTGAACTTGTCCCAAAACAGTACCAACCCTTTTTCAACTTATCGAACTTTGAAGAACTTGAAAATGTAAAAACAAAAATAGAATTCTCAAAATACAAGATAAATCAACATAAATATCTTACCGAAAAAAACTCTGACTGTGTTAATGGGCAATTTGTTTTTTATTTAATGAAGAAATGAATATGAAACCAGAAACGATTTAATAAAATTAATAAAAAAAAGAAAAAGAAGAAACCCTTCTCAGATGTGTTCTTTGGGTTTTTATTACATCATTTTTTTGGGATTTGTTATTATGAGTCAAATTAAGTAAAACCCGTTCTTTGCTAAAAACTTCCATCTTATTTTCCAGACACGTTTCAATGTCCGAGTCAATTGAATCCCCACTACTCAAAAGTGTTTTAAGTCTACTCGAAGAAGACGGTGACACTGAGAAAGACGTCGCTTCCCTTAGAAGCTTGTTGTATGACCCTCCCGAGAACGACTACACAACAAAACCAATTCTTGACCTTGCCGCCGACATGACCCGTGCAAACTCGGCTCCACTCAACAACGTGATATACACTGCTCAACCCTTCATACCAAAAAAGCGTCACGTTGTCGGTCTCGCGTCGCCCAGTTGTATATCTCCGTCATTCAACTCGATGTCTCCAAGAGTCAAACAAATCGTCAGTAGTCCACCGACTTACAAACACGCAAATTCGTCGTCCAACCCGAACCAAATGAGGAACACCATCAATAACAATTATACCGTTGCTGACTTGTGCAAAGAACAACAAGGGAGCCGTCGTATCCAAGCATTTCTCCAGACAGCAAAGGAATACGAAGTGACTGAAATCTTCGACAGTTTGAAAGGTGACTTATTTGACCTTATGTTGGACCTCTTCGGCAATTATGTCGTCCAGAAATTCATCGAAGTTGGTGTCGAAAAGCATCGACAGTACGTCAGAGATTTAGTGAAATGCAAAATCATCATGTTGTCAAAGCACATGTACGGCTGCAGAGTCATCCAGAAGATAGTCGAATACTCGAGCAGCGAACAACAAGAGGAGCTCTTCCAAAAAATCGAGGGTGAAGTCCGCGATTTGATAGTTGACCAAAACGGCAACCATGTTGTCCAGAAGTTTGTTGAGAAGTACGACGGGTGCGGTGGGAGAGTTATCGACATCATCAAAGACGACATCGAGTTAATTTCGTCTCATGGCTTCGGGTGTCGTGTCATTCAACGATTGATCGAGAAAAGCGACACCACCATTAATACAATCATTTACAATAAAGTGAGGGGGAACATACAAGTCCTTTCGATGAACCAATTTGGGAATTATGTTATCCAACATTTGCTCGAGTTTGGGAGTCAACCCATTCGCGATGAAATTATTAGTGAGGTGCAAGACATCTTCTGTGAGAGTTCTTTAATGAAATTTTCATCAAATGTGATGGAAAAGTGCGTTCAATTTGGATCATCGGAAAAGCAACGGGTCTTGATTGGGAAGGTCTTCTCGTGTAATGCAGATAGTGTCGTCTCGATGATGAAAAACCCGTTTGCAAATTATGTCCTCCAAAGGATGTTGACGGTCATGAACAAAGATGATCGAACAAAGTTCAACGCCAACTTCATTCAGAAGAATGTTGTCATGCTCCGAAAGAACGTCTACGCTAAACACCTTCTCAACACTATGGATAGCTTGTTGTGACACGGCAATTTTTATAGTTAAAAGTAACTCGTTATTTATTAGAGTCTTTGTTATGGTTGTGCTTATTATATTATTATTATTACTTATTATAAGTAAATAATAAGTAAGCAGTATAACAATAAATTAACAAGAAAACACCATCCCTCAGTCTAAGAGGATGGCACAGTCTAAATTGATCAAAGGAGTTCCTTTTGATCGGGGGCGCTTTTCTTTATGTGATCCGTGGTGCTTCTTGTGCTTGGTTGGCAAAGGAGATGTCACCTCATTTTGGAGTGAAAGAGGGAGTGGGTAGGACATCATGAATATTTTGGATTCTGAAGTACCCAACTTGATGTGGTTGATAGGGGGAATGTCTTTGATTTTTGGGATACTGAGTAACGGCGTCTCAAGCGTCTTCTTAATGTGTTCAATTTCTTGTTTACAGAAATGCAAATTGGACGTGTCGATTCTCCGTTGCAATAACATTGCTTTGTAGTTTGCAATATCGTTTAAAGTCGAGTACAAATCCATTACTTCTTGCACGGCCAATTCGATGGATTGTTGAAGGATTTTGTTGTTTGTCTGCTTCTCGAAGAAAGCACCGATATAGTCGGTGTATGCTTTGAACATAGTAAACAACTCGGTCTCCATCTGAGCAATGATGTCGACATTTTGGAAGTTTTCCGGAAGTGTTTCACCACGTGGGATTTTATATCGTCCAGTGAATATCTGATACTTTCTATGGAACGTCAAACTCTGTTGTAAGACGGTGGAATAGCTCTCGGCCCAATATGAAAATTTTGAATTGTCGGGTTGGAATACTTTAGTTGGGGCGTTCTTGTTGTAATACGATATTTGCTCGACTTCGTTAAAGATTTGTGGACTACCGTTTCTGCAAAGGTAGTGGAAAAGAATGAGACTCTTGAAGATGTCATAGGAGAACTCGTCTCTCAGTTGTTTCTTGATCTTTTTGACAATGAGATTCAAGTCGCCCTTGTAGCTTCTTTTTGCTAAATATCTGAGTTGCTTTGGACTTGAAATCGAATAAGAGTGAAGACACTCAAAAAGAGAATAGGACATTTTGATGAAGTTCATGTGAATTGAATAAAAAGAGGAGTTCGTCTGATTTATTAACAGCCGGTCGTTTTGGAGGTACTTTGACTTAACTAAAAGCGTTAGTTAAAAAATTGGGAAAATGGAATGTCAAAAGTACAACTATAAGAATGGTTTGTGGAATTATTGTGGCATTGTTACGAAATTTTAACAAACGCGTTTTTTTTGAGGTTAAATTGACAAATAAGAAAGAAAAATGACCTCTAACGGCCAGGTAATATCGCATTTTTCAGGTAAACCTTTCACAAAAATAATTTGTTTTTTCCCGAAATTCAGTGCGGAATTGGAGGCTTTTTTTATTGTAAAAATAGATTAAAAAATTTTTTTACAAGACATGGGAAGTTTTAAGTTATTATACGACCTGTATTTCACTTGTTTTATGAGATGTTGGAATAAAACCATAAAGAGTGATTATGTATACGATCTAAATAGTTATAAAACATGGGTCGATTTAATGCTAAAAAATGGGTTAATTACAACAATAATTAGACACCGACAAGTTAAGAGAATATGCATTTAAAAGAATATATAAATCGTTTTTGCTGTTTTTTGATAGCAAAAGTTGTATTTGCCTGTTCGTTTTTTTTCAAATTAGTTCTGAACTAATACCCATGAATATTAATAAAATTTTAATTAAAAATTTTGCTTTCAAAAATCCATAATATCTAAAAAAGTTTTTTTGTTATTGAATTAAACTAATTAATGTAAGTTAAGACTTATTATGTACTTAAAACAGTTATTTTTTTATAAAAGTCATCTGGTTTTTATAGTTAATCAAATCGAGAATAGAAATAAATGACATTTTTTCTAAAAAAGATCAAAGATATTGAGTAAGTTGTAAATTACACAATTTTTATTTGTTATTTAAACTGTATTATATTTAGTATTTTTTTATTTTACAATGAAAAAATTTAAAAATATACAATAACAATATTATATATTTTGGTACATTTTATATTACCCAATTTTGTTAATTATATTAATTATAATTTTAGTACAGTTAATGAATATAAATAATATGATAATTTACAACACGTTGTAACAATAAATGAGTGAATTAAAATGAGTTACGAATAAGCGTTTTGTGCAGCCTTTTCAAGTGGGCAGACGGCGGATATCATCTTTTCGTTAATGCACTTTTCGACGATTTCCGGCACTGTTTTCCCAGTGACGAATTTACCGGTGACGATGCTTTTTGTTTTGTATCTTTCTTCGCCGTCGAAAGAGATACGCGTCAATCTATTGTGTTTGCACTCCCCCTTATAATTGTATGAAATAACAAATGGGGCTTCTGGTGATTTCGACGAGAGTCTTACGATAAAGAACCCATCGACTCTATTAGCCAACCAGCTTTGTGCAATTTCACGTGTAATATCGAACGCGAAATAGTCCTTAGTACAGATTTCATTGAGGTCTTCCATCAAACCCTTGTCTTGGAAGTAATTGCCAAACAAGTCGATCGTCTTCTGGAAATTCTCAGGAAGGACTTTTTTCGACTCGAAGATGTTGTGGAGCTTCTCTTCACTCTTCAATGTGATTTGCACTTCCTTTGCAACTTCATTGAAAAAGTCGTTCTTTTCAACTTCAAGCTCCAAACCACCGGTTTTGGCATTGAAGAAATGTTTCTTCCAGAATTCAATACCCTTCTCTGACTTCAGCGATATGTCCAGAGATACTTTCTGTAACTCGTCCAACACTTCTTTGGCTGTTGGTCTGTTGTCGGGGTCACCGTCCCACATTTTAATCATCGTCGGGACAAATTTCTCTGGGACAGAGTCGTCGATCTCAGGACGTTTCCCGCCCTGTAAAATGTCCTCAGCAAATATGTCGAAGTCGTCGTACTCGGGGTACAAATCTTTTTGTGTGAACGTTTGCCACATAATGTACGACAAAGCATAGACGTCCCCAGCAAACGACACTTCATTATAATCAGCCACTTCTGGGGCAATATAGTATGGCGTTCCTTTCCAGTCAGAGCCACGAACATCTGCAGGGAAGACTGTGAATCCAAAGTCGGTGACTTTCACTGTCATGTAACGATCAACCATAAAATTCTCTGGTTTTAAGTCTCGATGAACTAATCCAATTGCACTGTGGAGCCAATTCACCCCAAGAGCCATTTCACTGCACAATTTCAACTTAATAGCAGGTGTGAGTGTGATCCGAAGAGACTCGGGAAGACTTTGTGGTCGATAGAGGAGTGCATCTAAGTCCGCAGCCATAAGTTCTGAAACGATCATGATTGTGCTTTCAGTGCAAGCACCCATGAAAAGAACAATATTGGGGTGGAAGACCTTCTTCAAAACGCCAATTTCATTCAGAAAGTCTCGACGCTCACTGTAGGACAACTTTTGTTTGTTGGGAACTTTAACAGCAACAGGAAGTCCCATGACTATACCACGATATACTGTACCAAAGGAACCCGACCCAAGTTTGTCCTTTTTGGGGTCGAAGCTGACGTCGGTCACTTTCAAGAATGAAGGTGAGGATTGCATATAATGTGTATTGTATTATAAGTTCTCAAAAAACGAAGAAGTAATTACATCAAATTAATTTTTGATAATTTGTATTTTTTTTCATTTCTAGATGTTGACATAATGCTCAACTTTGTTGGGTAAACAGTTGGATTCTGTGGATATTTTTTTGTCTTGTTTAAAGGATTTTGTTTTGGATAATTACTTGATTATAGTTGTTTTATTATAATTGAAAAACATTTGAATGGTTTTAATATTTTGATTGTTCGAAATTACTAATACACATTTTTTTGCTTGAAAAATAGTTTGAACTGTGTTTCACATTCAAATATTAGACAACTAACCCAAACTGTTTGGTCTTTTTGTTGTATTGTAATAGAAAACCAAAAATATTTTATTACACACAAAAGTACAATTATAAAAAATTATTTAATTATTTTTTTTAAATAAAACTATTTTGTAATTAAAAACAATTTAGAAAAACAATTCAATTTCAATCCAAATTATTAAAAAAAAATTTATTAATATTGTATTTCAATTAAACAAACAACTGTGATAAATTATCGGAAAATTACACATTATTATTAACAAAAAAAAATAAAAAAAATTAAAGTTTATATTTTAATTCATGTATTATTTAGTATTATTTAATAATTATAAAAATATGATACATTTTTATTGATTAATAGTAAAATGTATTATTATTTTTAAAATGAATAAAAAGTCAATAAATCGTTTAAAAAAATGAACTATAATTTAGCAATTCGATAGTTATAAACTAATAGATTTGATTATTATAAAGAAATATATTGAATTATTAAACTATAATAACAAAAAATTGATATTAACAATTAGTAATTTTTATAATTATCAGAACCTATATTAAACAATGATAATATTATTGGTTTTTTATCTTATATATATTAGTTTGTAAAATAATTATGGCATAAATTATTATTCAAAAAATAATAAATAATTTTTAATAAGCAAAAATACAATATTACACAAGAACTAATAATTGAAGTTATTCTATAGTTTTACTCATTTTTTGAACACAAAAAATAAAGAATGCAGTCATCGAAGAGTATCATTCTTGTCTGTTGTGGTTCTTTCAACCCAATCCATGAGTTACACCTTTTGATATTTGGTTTGCTATTAAAATTTATAATAAATCTGACCATAAGAAATTGCAAAAAATTACTTTACACTCAACGGCCGCAATTGTTACAAAGGGATCATTTCTCCAGCCAACGACAGATACTGGAAAAATGGTCTCCTTCATTCTTCGCATCGTGTTGCAATGTGTAGAGAAGCTGTAAAAACATCTGATTGGATTACAGTTGATGACTGGGAAAGTAAACAGACGGACTACGTTAGAACATACAACGTCTTGTCTCATGAAAGAGAAGTTTATGGAAACGACTATGACATATACTTCATTGGTTCAGACGATTTATTACCAAACATGGCAGATCCCAAATGTTGGGATCCCGTCTTACTTGAGAAGTTGGTCTCTGAGTTTGGTGTTGTGATGTTGCGACGACTTCTTGAAAACCCCGAAAAAGAAGTTGAGAAAAACGCCATTTTAGTTCGACACAAAGAGCATATTTTTGTTTGTAGTGGTTTCCAAGCACAACACAGTTCAACAGAAGTTAGAAATTTGGTAAAACAAGGACTCAGTATCAAGTATATGGTACCAGACTTAGTCATAGACTACATTAAAGCAAACAAACTTTATTTGGAATAAGAATAACGTCTTTGGTTCTCTTCTTTTATTTGAAACATATTAAGTTAAGACTAATTAACTTATTATAATTAAACTATAATTAAACTATAATTATAATAATAATTATAATAATAAAGTGATATTAAATTATAAATCTGTTTTAAATTGATCAAACTCCGCCCATTCATTGTCTTCTTCTTTCTTCTTGTCATCTTCTTTCAATACAGTTTCTTTCTTCTCTTCAGTGGGGACAGTTGCAAGATCGACGCCAATCGATTTCAAATATTTAGCAGCCTCAGGCCTTTGCCAAAAAGCATCTTCTTTCACTTTTTTCCATACAGGAGGCTCTTCACCATGAATGCAATCCATAATGAACATGGTGACTTCCCAAAACATTTTCCCAGAGAGCTCATCTTCTGAAACAATTTTGTCTGTGACGAGGAGATTTAAATATTTATCAACGACTCTTTGACCGACAAGAGAATATGGCACTTGTAATGACCTCGCAACAACATCGTCGGGCTTCTTATCGAGTTTCTGAAAAAGAGGAAATGCCGTCTCCATTAGTTGCTCTTCAATAGTGTCTTGCAACACCTCGCACTCCTCTTTCTTTTTGTCAATTTGCATACACCTTTTGAACGCGCGTTCTCCCCACACAACCCAGAAGTCTCCAGCCCCACAAGAAGTTGTAAAGAGATAGACAAAAAGCAACAAGACTTGTCTCATTTGATCTTTTGTGTTATTGATTTCTAGTTTTCTTTCTATTTTCTTTTATCGACTATAATACTAGTTAAGTATAGTTCAAGTAACTTTCAACTCAAAATGAACACAATTTAACACTATTCTTCGGCAGATCGAGGTTCTTTCTCAAACGTCTTGTACATCACAAACGCTCTCGATATGAGTTCTTCCATGTCTTGGCCACTCCACGACCGACTTGGAATGTTCTGAAGGAATTGCATTGCCTCCGCAAACTCCATTTTCATCAACTTTGCTTTGTACTTTTCAATCAGTGAGACACAAACATACACATGAAAGTGACTAAACCCATTTCCATCATCATCAGAGAGATAGGTATCCCACAACCGCATTCCTTGCTCGGGAGATAACTCACGAAGCAAAAAGCAGTTGATCCATCGAAACGCAAATTGGAAGAACAAAATGTTGTTTTCCTCAAAATGGACATCCAAAGGTTTGTCGACTTCTCCAACAACCTTTTTCATGACTTCCAGTTGCTTAAAAATTTGTGACTGATTGCTTGTGTAGTGGTCTTGAATATTCATCATCAATGACGAAAAGCACCAATATAAATCCGCCTCGACATTATGTGTCGCATCACTTGATATGTCTTCGAAGATTTGTGGCGTTTTCAAAGGGGAGTATTCCTCAAGAAATACAGTGAAGATTGGAATGACTAAATCGTTTAAGCCTTGGATGTATCCACAAGCCGGGTTCCGTAAAGCCCATAAGAACAAGACATTCTCCATCGTCTTTTGGGCCACTTTATGCGAAAGTAAAGGCACTTCCGTTGTGCTTCGAGAGATATCTAATCGAATTTGACGAAGTGTTTTCTCCTCAATTTCAGTTAATTCGTAGCTCAACATTTTGGTGTACGTCTGATACTCGGATCGCTTCTTCTGAAGCACCTTGTCGACTCGTGAAACTTCACTGGGAATGTAATTGAACAAATACTTCCACACAACATTCCGAACACTGAATGGCACCCCATGCCAACTCATTTTCCGCAGTTTCGCAACGTCGACAGTCGGCACGTTCAACACCCGAAGAAATTGTTTCAGTCGGCAAGTTTCTTCAGACATCAAGAGAACTGAATAAAAAGAGTTAGAAGTAATTCTCTCGAGTTTTCCATTGTTTGGTAAGTCCTTTTTATTTTATCATAAGTAGAAAAGGAAAGTAGTAAAATGAATTATAAATAATTATTAAAAAATAGGTTTAAGTGGTTAGGTTGGTAGATAAATGCAAATGTATCAATTCACTGTTCTGGTAAAAGTATAATTAATTAATTATATATAATGGCATGAACCAAACTTAAAATAGAATAGACACAATAAATAGTATTTAATAAATAAATAGAGTATTCAACAGGTAGTATTCTTGATCTATTGACATTAGCTTGTTAAACTACTTCGCGTTAACTAAAAATTTCTCTCCTTTCTTCTCAATGGAGTTTGTCTTGAGAATTTGATCGATTTCAATTTCAGTTGTTAGCCTTTGTTTTTTGCCTCGATTTAAAAGAGCTTTAAAGGTAAAATCTTTCTTTCGAGGAGACTTTACCTCAAATGGTTTCGGGCTTCCTCTTCCCTCTGAACACGCTGGACTTGTGACACTGATTGTTCCACTTCTTTGCACGGACTCTGGTCGAGTGATTGAATACACTTTTTTGAACCCAAAAGATGTTCGCTGTTTTGGTTCTATTTGTATTTTTGGCATACTGTTTTTCCTTTTGAAGACTTCATTTCTTTTTTGCTCACCAAAAGGAATCGAAGGCAAACTGTTGTTTTTCAAATCCTTACGATCTTTATCTTCGAGTTCTCCAATACAAAGTAACATATCACTCGAGTCATCCCACGTGCCAGACCGCTTCTTTTCGAATTTTTCAGGTTTCTCCTTTTTATCTTTAGATTCTCTGCGTTCTGGACGCTTTTTAAACGAACTTCGAACAAACCCAATTTCTTCGCTGAACTGCAAAAAGTATTTTTCAATTGCGCCCTGTACTTGTATTTGGTACACATTTATCTGTTTGGATGGTTTTGCGGGATAAGGAGGAGGTGTTCCCATTGTCTGAAAATGGTCAATCATATCCTCACAGATGAATTCAAACTCACTCAACATTAGTTTGAAAAAGTCAAACAAGATGCTCTCACATTCAGAGTCTTTTGAGTTGTTCAGAAAGCACTTGCCATAAAGCAATGATAATATTTTAACACTACAATTGTTGCATTCGGAGTATGAATACAAATTGAATATATGTCTTAGGATATAAGTCGCAGTGTCTTTGTTTTCATTGCTCAAACCAGACAATGCTCTTTTGATGCAATCAACTTGGGTAAGTTGGCTGTCGCATTTAAATTCCCTTTTGAAGTCAAAATAGTCTCTTTGAATGAGAGGTTCTGGAATACTTTCTATAAATAAAGACGTCAAATGAAATGCGATTCTTGGAGGAAGTGATGTTGTATTAATATCGTTCTCAAGTTCTAAAAGAGCAAGATACTTCTCCTTTTCTGGTTTTGTTATTTTCGTGTCAAAGACTTGAGGAGTCTGATAGTATCCCATGTCTTCTAAAAAAGGTATAAACCGGTAAAGAGGTAGTGGGATCTTCCACCCAGATTTTTCAACCGCAACAGAGAGGGGATACCCAAAATATCCGATCGAGTGTATCAAAGGTGAAAGTGATGAAATCCAATCGTTAAATTCATCATTTGTGTCGCAACATATTTGGTAATATTTGTCGTTTTCCAATAACTCGAAAGTGGTTGATTCATTCTCAATTCCAAAGAGCATAGTGGACACTTTCTTCGTGTCAATGATTTGTTTTTGAAAAAACTTTAAGTGTTTTAACAAACTTTTCGCAAAAATGTGTTCGCTATTTTAATCGTGAAAATGGGTCTTTTTGTTGGGGTCATAGTGGAGAATTGTTCTTTATAAAACGCGATTTCTGTCAAGTGGATTTTCATGTATAACTTCCTTGGTCCTTTTAGCTCTCCACCTCTGATATTGACATATCCTTCAGTCTTATGTGTTGACATCGATAAGAATTAACAAGATCCAAAATTAAATGCTTTTGAACAAGGTTATTTGGTCTTCAGTCTTCTCGAGCTTGTCTTCTGATGTTCATTTCTTCGTTATTTCTCCCTCAAAAATAGTTTCACCTATTAAAATTATTATATTTTTAAAATAAATTTATTGGATTATTTTTTTATTGTCCCATTAGTGGATTAACCATTAATAATAACCTTTAATAATAATAAAATTGTTTCAATACATAACATTTGTCCTCAAGCGTCTGTACATTTGAGTATTGATAAAGTGTTTGTCAAAAATAATTATATTCTCGGCATCCTCGACTTTTTGAAACCAATTCTGTTACAACAGAGTTTTTCTTACGAGTTTTATAATTGTTTAAAACTCATATAATCTAGTACTAAATAATTTCAAATACAATAAAAAACTAACCACTAGTTTGACTTAAACTTTGACAAACAAAAAATGAGGTTCTCCAACAACTTTTTCGAACTGACAAACAAAAAAATCAATATAAGATAGTTCAGGTATTGTTGAATGAATTATTCCATAACGCACTCAATTGTATTGGAATCAATTCGATACTACAAATGTGTTTTATTTAAACATTTAATAAATAAAATTCAGTTAAACTTTTTATTATATTTTTAAGTTAATACCTATTAAGACATTATTTGAATAAAACTAAATGTTATAATATATATACTATATGTTTATACTAAATATAAGTATGATACAATGTTTTATAAATAATAATATTTATTATTACTATTGTTATTATTATAATTATAATAATAATATCAACAAGATTACTCCATTGTTCATTCAACACCCTAAAACAAGAATTTGTCACTCAAGCTCTTCTTGAAGCGTTTTCACTTTTTGAGAATACGTAAGCAACAACAACACAATTTCTTCATCAGTTGTTTGCTCTGTCTTCCCAATTGACATGTACTCAACAATAGTACCAAGCAACTCCTTCAAACTCTTGCCATTCTGCCCTTCAATTGCAATCTCTTTACATAACGCAATGACGACACGAAGCACCCGCCTATTTGTCTCGCTACAATTTTCATCAAGCACATCGATGTCATTCACCATGAAAATAGACATAGTGAATAACTGCCCCAATGCCCTCAAATAAATGAGGAATGCTTCACTTAACAAATTGACATCATACAAGCCCAGTCCCTTCATTGCATCAACGGAAAGGAATATTGACTGATAAAAATCGATATTTGTATTTGAAGGAATCGTCGTGAAGAGTGTTTTGCTAGTTTTGTTACTGTCCAAAACGTTGACAAAACTCAATATTTCTTTGGGGACCTTATGAGTCCCGCACGCTTCTGTGGATGGAAATTTTAGAAATGGTTCTTGGTGCTTAATAAGTTCTTCTGGGCTCAACCCAAAAGAAGTTTCATTTGTTGTGTATACAACTTCGATGAACGACGACGGGCCATTTAACACGGATACCTGAATAATGAATTGTTTTCCTTCTCTGATGTTTCTGACATTCTCCGCAGTCATCATCACCACTGCCTCTATATTTTCTGTGTTTTTTGTCTTCACAAGAGCTCGTCGTTTTGCTACAGTAATCCACTGCGGTTCCATTTCAGTGCCGTCTTCCATCGATATAAATTTGACAATATACTCAAAGTCCACCCCTCCACAATTTGTTATTGGAATTGAAATCAAATCCTTCTGATAGGGGCGAATTTCACCAATTTCAACCACCTTTTGTACTTTAAATACTGGAACAAGTGTCAGTGATATCTTATTCGCTAACCCCAGTATTTCCTTCCACGACTCTTTCATCAACTTTTCATTCACAAAACGTGGTTTTAATAGTGTGGTGCACCTCACTGGCAAATGGTCTGAATAACAGATGTTAAGACTGGTATAGTCTCTCAACGAAATTTGATACAACTGACTCACTCGAAACAAGACTCTATCACACCACGCCGGGTTTCTTTTCCAGTCCAACTTGTCCGTCCCTTTCTCCAATCGATATGTCGGTCCAAACAACACTGGCGCTTCAATAAATCCAGCAAAAGCGTTAGATTTTGCAACGGAGTCACTCAGTTGGTCAGCCAGAAAGAGTAGCGGAATGTCGTTTAAATGGTGTCGAATGCCGCTTTCTTCCAAGTCAAGTCGGTAATTGAAATCGCCCATCCAAACCTCATAATCGTGGTCCTCGGGTCTCAGCTCAAAATTCAAATTCTTTCTTGTCGTCCAGTAACACTCGTCGCATTTTTCAGGACCATCCCCCGCCGTAAAATGCGCCCCTACAAATAGCACTCGGCACGCCCCTATTCGACAAGAAACCCCAATAGCGCCTTTGTTACCAACTACACCAAACTGTCCCAGCGTCACCGTAGACACCTTTAAATCACAAATCGTCAAACACTCCTCTCGGGAGGAAAAGATGAACATCGCGAGTCCTCCGTGTTGTTGAGAGAAGACGCAGTCGTACCTCCGGATTTTGGGGAGTGCCGATTCAAAGAGAGTTTGCCACTGTATTAAAAGTTCCGATTGACCAAAAGTCATCATTCCACTCAGACTCATATTGATTTCCTCTAACACAACAACAAACATTTTTGAGTCGTCGAAGAGGTGCTCGATTGGAATTTGGCTCGGGTCACTCTCGGCGACATTCCACGTGATGAACGTGGTCTTAATAGGAAGTACCTCAGTGAAATAGAACCACCTCTCGCGCATTTTCTTATCGAACCACTCATCTTGGTCTTCGGAATATTTCACGTAGTCTGCTTGAGTTATTTTTGTTTTGTCTCCGTCGCGAATGGGGTCTTCAGCGGCGTTTGGTTTAAAGCGGGAACCATCCCGTGGGAGTGGGAATGACATAGCTTTTCGAGTTTTTGAAACACCATCTCTTTGTTTTTCGACTATTACTGTATTTGTTTAGTATTCAAAAGATGTTCTAAATATAAATTTCAATAGCATTTGAGTCTTTTTGTTTTAGTTCTTGATGTATAATTAAAATTACTATCTTTGTATTATTAAACTTTAACTATAAAATTTGGTTTATTCAACTAGCCCAGAATCACGTCGATGAAGTCCGCGATGTTGTTCATCAAGTAGGTGAAGAGCGCATTGACACACTTCATTTCAGCAACGGCTTTCATCGAGTAGTCTTTCCAGTAGATGTATGGTCCAAAAATGGTGCCTAGATTGCCTTGGTCCATTCTGTTGAATGTGTTTTGTTCCGAAATGAGGCGTGCCAAGTTGACCAACGCCAAGAGCATATGCCGATTTTCTTTCGGGACTTGTGCAAGTAACTTCTTTATTTCCGTTGAAACGACAATTTCTGGGTGGGTTGATGCTATTAGTTAGTTCTATTAATTAACAAATAGAATTAACTACTTGAATTTTAAAATACACAAACAAAAGAGCTCCACAACCTTCTCACCAATCTCGTTGGTCAGAAGAGGTGCTGGTAGTGACTGGAGATAAGACTTTAATACCGAACATACATTATGGGGGTCTTCTGAAATTGGAAACGCACTCACTTTACAGTGGTTGAATGCGTCGATATATAAATCAACTTTATCTTTGTTTCCGCTCAGTCTGAAAATACCTTCTGTTGTCAGTGCGTCTGGGTTCGCTGAGAAATACTGAATAGCACATTCCACCACAATTGGAAGATCAGACACCCCTCTGTTATGGTGGTGGACGGCATCATATAAAGTGACTCCGAAAATCGGGTGCGCCTTTTTGGAATATGCGTTGACTGCCCACAGTGGAAGTGAGAACATCCCAACTGGAATCTCCTCATAAAAGTCATACATGTCTTCGACTATTTTCATTTTTGCACTCGTGTGTTCTGAGAAGAATGTTGTCGTTACTTTAAAACGTATGGATGGTTGGAGAACCAAATACAGGCGGTGCAAATTAGTGTGGTACTTTCTAGGGAAAAGTGTGAATAAAGATTTTGCCAAATCAAGCGGCAGTTGGTCTTCTTCGTCTATGTAAATAATTGAAAAGTTTGTATTTGAAATAGGCTCAAGCCTTGTGATCAAATACAAGAAGAAAAATTTCAGTTGTTCATCAGAAAATTTGTAATTTTTGTATGGGAAGTTTTTCATATTTATCAATACAAGGGGGCGTTTGTCTCTGTCGGTGTACTTACTCACAAGGAAATTTGAAAACTTCGAAAATTGTGAAAAATCCAACTTCTTTGCATATGAAAGCCAATTAATATACGTTTCATCCCCTAATAGTATTTCATGTATTTGGTTCTGTTGGTCATTTCGGTTGTCGTTGTACTTTCAGATGATCAAAACAAACGTTTTTGTCTTTGATAAACGAATGAGTTTGCTCGAAGTATGCGTTGTCAATTTCAATAAAAGAAGTCAAAACACCGTCGTCGGAGTCGTCGAGAAAAACAGGGGGGCTGAGTGTTCTTTGGGCTTCAAACTTTAAGTCAGTTTTTGATTGTTTCGATTAAAAACAAACAACCACAGGCATTTTTACTTCCTGGCTTTTTGGTTGAGGTAACGAGTTGTTCCGTGGAAACAGCTTTTCCGTTGGTTTCATAAGCCTCTTTCTTTTAGTAATGCCAACGTCCATTCAATTTTTATATTTTTTAGTCTTAAATTTTTAAAAATTGGATCTGAAAATATGTATTCGAGTTATACAGAATGATCCTTTAAAAGGCAATAGATAGTTGTGGGATAACTGATTTAAACAAAAACGTGCTGCACAGTGGTCGAAGTTGTGTTTCTTTCCACAATTGCACTCTTCTGCATATTCCCCAGGTCTTTCAAAATGTCATCAACATTTCTAGCGGAAACAAGCGAATGGACAGTCAGTGATCTAACGATTCCTTGTGGATCAATGATGACAGTCGCCCTGTTAGAAACTCCAGTGAAGCTCATGAGACCAAAGGATTCGCTAATTTTGTGATTTTCATCGGATATGAGCGGATACTTGAGCGCACCAATGGACTTTTTGTCTGTGGTCTGGCAAAGCTTTTTGTGCGACTCAATCGGGTCAACTGATATGCCAACAACTTCCGCGTTTTTGCTTTCGAACATTTCAAACTTGTTATTCACCTCAACCAATTCCTTTGGGCACACAACCGAGAAGTCTCGGCAATAGAATACAAGAACAAGGAACGTGTCCTTCTTTCTCGAAAATTGCTTAATCTCACCATTTGAATAGCAAAGCCCTTCAACGGTTGGTGCAACAGACCCAACACCAATTTTTGGTTTTGAAAACCTGTGAAACAGTCCCTTGACTTTGTCCGCAAACGTTTCTTTAGGCTCATTGTCACATTCACAAATTGGTTTTTCCATGTGTTGTTTCCATGTTTTCCGTCCTCATCCGTTCTGTCTTTCCACCACTATCTCATCATCTCACTAAATAACAATCTTCATTATTATTTCTATATGTAAAGTTGGCTGCATCGAAGTTCTTAACTATAATTTATAATAAAAGTAAATATAATATATAGTTCTCTCCTTTTCATTTTAAATTTTCAAAATGCCATAATAATACTTTTATTTTACTAATACAACTCCCATTTTGACAACAATCACAAAACGTCAATCAAAAATCACTTTTTAGTCAAAACAGTGCAGTGGTATTTTTACATTCCCCAAAATTTTGGTACATCCCCTGAAACAGTGTTTCCCAAAAACGAACACGACTGTTGGCAATGAAATACTTTGGAGACTATAACAATTATCAAAACATTGGAAAGGGATTTCCCCCAATTTGTTTGGTAAAGAAACCGCACTCAAATTCATACAATTTTTAAAACACGAATCTCCAAGTAAAGTGATTGTTTGTGGTAATGAGATATGAACAAGAGACATACAATTCCTGAAACAACACACTTCGATGCTTCTCACGTTATCAGGAAACTTTGTTTTCACCAAGTCTACATCAGCTTTCGTCAAGCAAATATTTGGCGTTCGAATACCACAACTATTTAAAATAGCTCCAAGCCAGAAGGAGACATCGAAAGGATACGTGTCAACTGCAAAACCGCCTAAATAGATTTTCCGTAAAGACTGACACTTCTCAATCACGTTAGCGTGCATCGTCACTAACTTCGTCGACAAATCTAGACTCATTAACTTCGAGCAGTTATAGAAACAGAACTCGTCGATGACCTCAACACTGTCCGGTATAATCATTTCACTCAGACTAATGCAGTCGCGAAAGGTCGACTGCCCAATTCGCGTGAGAGTCGTTGGTAACTGGACAAATTCTAATTCTTTGCAGTAACTGAAAGACTCCTTTTCGAGATATTTGACACCATACAAAATGACATATTTAAGGTGGTAGCACCGCTTGAAACAACATATCCCAAGTTGTGTGATATTCGTTGGGAGACAAACACCAGTCAATGAAAAACACTTGTAGAAACACGAGTCACCAATTTGTTCCATATTTTCAGTAACATACACTCTTTGCAGTGCACAACACATACGAAACATGTTCTCTTGCATTTTTAACAGGCGAGAACCACCCTCGTACAGTAATTGTTGAAGTTCAATACAGAAGTCAAAACAGCGCTTCTTAATGACTTGGACACTCTTCGGTATTATCAACATTTTCAACGACCGGCAATTGAAAAAACAACATTCTCCAATGTAACTCACCTTCGACGGAATCGTCAGGGAACTCAAATTGTTGCATTCAGCAAACACATTTTTGTCAATGAACAACAAGTTCTTCGGTAATGATATTTTCCTGAGACTTTTACAGAAATAAAACTGTGACTCGGACAATTCAGTGATTCCGCTGCCCAACACTATTTCTTCCAAATTGATGTTGTTGGAAAACGTGTTCTTCTTGATTGAAACGATAGAGTCAGAAAGGGTCACGGTCTTAAGTTGACTCGACAGCAAATACATCCCTTCTCGTAAACACGTCACATTCATCGGAATGTCGCTGATGCGTTTCAGTGGGTATCTATTGATCTCAGTCACAACATCTTTGAGATATATCCCATTCGTCTTGTCTTGTTCTCGCAAAACCACTTGTGTGCATTTGATGTTATTATTGCTGTATATCAAAAACTCCGAGTAGCTCACTTTGGATTTGGTACCTCGTGAGAGAGTTGGCGACTTCAATACAATTCGTTCCATCTTGTCGCTCTCCTCGAATAAGTAGTTACCAAGTGTTGTGACTCCGGTACCAATGGTGATTGCTGTTAATTTTTCGCAGTGAGAGAATGCGCAGTTCCCTATTTTTGTCACCGTGTCTGGAACATCAATTTCACTCAATTCGTCACATGAAAAAAAGCAGTTTTTTCCAATGGAAACGACGTTTGGCGGAATTGAAAAGTGCTCAAATCGCTGTTGTGCGAAAAGGTCCTTTCCAAACTTGAGTTGGACATCGTCAGGCACAAAGTGCTCTCCATCGTCGTCAACACAACTTTCGTAGTCTTCGGAAGTGAATACGACGTCATTTGCGATGACTTTGAGTCCTTTCAACAAGACAAATGTTTTATATGAAACTTCGTATGGGAAAACACCGTTGATCAATTCCATGTCAAGCTTTTCCAAACTTTTGCAATTTGCGAAGACGTCTTTCTCTATTTTTGCAGTACTATTTTGGACTTCGATGTATTTCAGGTCAGTGCAGTCTTTGAAACACATTTTCCCAATAGATCTCACCGAGATTGGTAGAACTATTTGCTCAAGTCCACATGTGTCAAATACGCCTTTCCCAATCTTTTTAAGACTTGTAGGAAGACTGATCTCCTTCAGTGCAAGACACCCCTCAAAACAGAACTCCTTAATTTTGGTCAAGTCTTTGGGTAACATCACACAACTCAGATTTTTGCAGTTGGAAAACGTCTTTTTGTCCAATTCGCAGAGGCTGGAAGGAAGTTTTATTTCCTTGAGACTGACGGCTCCATAGAACGACTCGCTCATCAGGTAAGTGACTGTGTTTGGAATATCGACACAGGTCACTGCGTTCCCTTCGAATGCATGAGTGTCAATGATCACGATGTTTTCAGGTACATTGACACTTTTGATTACTGGGTAATTCTTGAAGCATTGAGTCCCAAGAATAAGTGCGTCTTGTGGAATGCCAGCCTCTTTAGTTTTTTGGTTCACCATAATCTCTCCACCAGCTACAAAACTGATGTGGACACATTTCACTCCAAACCGTTTTAAAAGTAACATGTCGTTGTAAGACACATCAAAAGGATATTCATCATTTTGAAGGGGAACTTGAAACACTTCCAGTTGGTCACACTTCCCAAAGCAGTCACAGGAAATGTGATGAGTTGTGTTGTGAATTATCAAACGAGTCAAAGAACTGCATCCATCAAAGCATTGCTGACCAATGTAGTCGACGGACTTTGGCACTTCTAAATCTATCAGACTCACACACCCTTTGAAAGTCTTTTCGTTTATCATCACAACGTTGTTTGGAATTTCAATGTCGGACAGAGAGACGCATCCCTCGAAGACAGAGTCCGAGATGAAAAACAGAGTCGACGGCAACACAACTGTCTTTAACGCTTGACACAACGCAAAACAGCTTGAGTAAATCATTGTCACAACTGTTGCACTCAAATCGACCGTCACTAGACCACAACGACAAAAAGTCTGAATTCCTACCGAGCACAATGACTTCGGAAACGAAAAGTGTGTTAAAGAGGGACAATTGAAAAAAGCAGCGCTGTCGATGGCAGTGATTTTATTTGGAACGGTGACGGAACTGAGCGAGAGACAATTCATAAATCCGTAGAATGGGATTGTGTCTATTAAAGGAGGTAAAACGACGTTCTTGAGCTGAAGACATTGGTTACAACACTCCGAGTCAATTCGCGTCACGTGGTTTGGAAAAACAAGTTCGGTGATTTGAGACTGTTCAAAACACTTTTGGCCCACTACTTTAACAAAAGAATTGTATAGTGCCTCTTCACCATAAAGATATCTGTCATTTTGTGTGAAAATTACGTTGTACACTTTGTTGAAATTGAGTTTTTCGTATATTGCTTCGGCATATGGTATTTCATAACTAAACGCCTTGATGTCTGTTGGGAATTGCTTTTCGTTTTTATGGTAAAGGAATTGAGTGTTGATAAGGGGAAATATGTGTTGGGAAGTAATTGGAATAGGGTTGTAGCGAAACTTATCGAGGGTTTCCCGAAACTTTTTGCAGACGCAGACCACGTTCTTGAAATCGGATAGATACTCGAGGTATTTTGCTACGATGAGAAGAGAGTAGCTGTCTAGTTTAGTCATCTCCAAATGGGTTTTTAAAGGTTTTTCATTCAATAAAAATAATGGAATAAATTCAATTTAAAAACAAGTTTTATTTTTCACCAACAAAATTTGTTTTAAAATCGACGAGACAATCATTCATATTTAATGATTGTGTTTTGTTATTTAGTGGAAAAAACAAAGAATTGGATTTTTGACAATAAAAAAATGTGAATAATGAAATAATAAATTTATTTATTTAATAGATTTGTTTTTTTATTCAACAATTTATAATTATATATATAGTAGGCTTTGCACCCGAGAATTTTATTATCAAAAATTAGTATCGAAAAACGCTATTAAAACGGGTAAATTTTGGTTCCCGTTTTATTAGCGTTTTTAGATACTAATTTTTGATAATATATTAACGGTTGCAAAGCCTGATATATAGTTGTTTTTAAACTAAAAGCAAATAAATAATGAACTTTTTTATTTAATAATAAAGTATTAAAATTTTAATATTGTTTTAATTTTAATTTTTATTTCTTTTTATTTTTTATTTAAATAATATATAAGGGACCTACATTGACCACCACCACCACCTCTTAAAATAGATTTATTTTTTCTATTTCGAATCATATTCAAATTAAAATTATAGTAAATAGGAAACTGGGATAATATTAGGTCTGGTTCCCGAATTCAAGAAATGCCGAAAAATCACCTCGAGTTAGTGGAAACCGAGTGAGACGGAGCATTGAAAAGAAGGCTCTGAAGACGCACTCAAACAGTCTGTTTGTGCACCGTTTCACCCACTTTCCAAGTCCTCCCTTGGCGCGGATCCCCCCCTGACCCCCCCGCAAGCGGGGGGGAACCACATCCGCGTCCACACAGTACGGACAAGGAAAGTGGGTGACATGGGGACGCACAAACAGTGGCTGAAAAATGGACTTCCTTCAAAAAACACTCGCGGCAAATATTTTTTTTTGGTAAAGGTGGTGGTGGTGGTCAATGTAGGTCCCAATATATAATAATTTAATACTTTATTATAGTTATTAAACAATTTTTAATAAGAATTAGTTGGAAACTAATACAGTTTTTTCGATTTAATTGTCAAATTGTCCAAATTAAATAAAAACAAACAAGTTGTTTAATTTGCGTCAATAGAGCAAAATTGATTCTTATGTTTTGTTCTTGTCTTTTTATTATATTATTTACTATTATAAACCAAATATAATAAGATTAATATTATTTTGGTTGCTATAAATATAAAAATATATTGGAACAATCAAATTAGACTCTGTTTGACTAACAAAAACACATTTTTGGGTTGAAATACCAGTTTCCTATTTTCTTTTTCACATTAATTTGGTTATAAAATAATACATCGTGATCAAATTAAACAAATTAGAATTAATTATACCAATATTAGCGCACTTCCCAAAAATGAAAAAACCAAGCCCAAAGTGTTAATAATAAACTGAGATTGGTTTATAAAATTTCAAGTCGAAATTATGTAAAGAATTGGAAACAAAAAACATTTTTTATCTTTTTCGATTGAAACGGTTGTCCTATAATCCCCATAATAACTACAAACATCGTATATATATAACAAAAACAATTATATATTATAATTTTAATATTATGATCAATCACTTTTGAAACCAAATAAGTCGTCAAAAAATGTTATTTTGGAAACTCAAATTGTCAAAATCAATGCGCGGGAGCCACAACTCCGGGAATATTGTCAAAAATGATACAGCCTGTGTATGTCAGTGGTCTCCAGAAGAGCAGCTAACCCTTGAAGAAGAGTTGTATCAGTTTGTTATTCTCCCTTTACATGTAATTGTTCAGTACTCCCTTCCATTTTACTAACAAGACAAAATAGTAAATCAGTTCTAACCATTTAGGATCCAACAACAAAATCAAGACATCACCGACATTTCTTCCATTCTCAAAATATCTTCAAAATTCCCGTCCAAATCGATTCAGCAAATTACAAGTCGAATCAAGTGGTTACAAATGAGTCAGCAAATCGTTTGTTACTAATCAGACTTTCTTTGAGTCGCTCACAAATAGCGTCCTCAGTGGGAGGTGTTTTGTCAAAACGAGAGTTTTTACATCCAAAAAGCAAAAATGATGCCACAGACAACTCGATTTCTTAGTCCGCGCAGTGGACCAAAGGACGTGTATCTTCCTTCGACCATTCAAGCAACCGAACCAATCCGGAGGAGAAGCTATTCGATGGAAGAAAAAACGACATTGTCGCCACGCCAACCTTCAATCATGATCGGCTCAAACAATTCTCAGAATTCCCCACGAGTGTACCACGCACCTCCCCCAGTCACATTCACAATTCCTCAAACAACTAATATGGATTGGGCAAAGAAGTTGATTGATGACAACGAAGTGATTCTTGGCGAACTCCAAAGTTGTGCAAACGTTCCTTTATGCACTTCTTTTATACACAACGGCAATACAATCCTCCAATTAACCAATTTGGCGGTTCATGGCGTTCTTCCATTCTTTTCAAAGGAGTTGCTCCTTTTCGACGAAGCTAAACGTGCTGGTGCGCCACCTTATATCCAGAGTACTATTGGATTTAAGTATCAACAAGAACTCCCAAAAACAATAGCGGTCAGGCAGCAACAGTCGGTGAGTCTTCCTGGGAGTTCATTGTCGCCAATGTCGTCGCAGAATGGTTCACTTCATTGATGTAATTGTGTTGGTATTTCTTTTGTTTAATTTCAGAGTGAATCAAACGGTAAACGAATGAAAACAAAAAATAGATAAACTATTATGCGAAAGTTTGGTGTAAGAAAGGGTGCGAAAGAGTGTCCACAGAAGTATTCTGGAACACAAAGTATTGAGAGCTTTCAATCGGCTTGAACGCGCTTGGTGTTTGGACAGAGAGCGAGTCCTCGTCGACTTGTGGCTCAGCAGACAATGACTTCTCGGACAACGTCAAGTGTTCTGAAAAGTCCCCCGGTAATGTGTTTGACTGAACCCAAGCAGATCTCGACCGGACAAGTGTTGACTCGATGTGTTTGATAAAGGACGACAGGAGTTGAGATTCTGCGACGTTGATAACAACATTTTCTGGAGTTATAATTTTGTTCCAGATGAAGAAATGGGCAGTCTTCTTAGATGGTTTGATTCTGGTGACATTTGTTATTAAGGAGTAACCCCTCTGGACCAAATTCAAAGCAAGGTAGTTGACAAAACACGCCTCTTTGTTTCGACAGTCTTGATTGTAATCTAAGTCCTTCCATTTCTCTGTGTGATCCACACATTGGGACAACGCAATTTGATGAATTCGTTCCTTTGTAACGACTAAACTGGTGACCTTCTTGGAACGAGCGTCTTCGACGAGAACACTCATCTTGTCAGAAAAGATGTCCGACGCACGAACAAAGTCGTCATTGGAGTCCTTTCTAAAGGACTCTACCCATACAACCTCTTCTCCACGAAGTACCTTGAGAGAGCAGTGCGACATTTTGCTCCGTACAAATTGAATGTTGGCCCCTGCGTTGACTGCGCAGTACACTAGCGCGCTTGTGGTGAAGGCCTTTTTGCAGCGGCTTGTATCTTGCTTTTTCTGTGGCATGGTGTATATTTTGAGTTATAAAAAAGATTTATCCACATTTAGGGGTGTGTTTCTGTATTTTTAGTCATATTTCATGTAGATTTGAAACGTCGAAAACGTTCTTTGGCGCTCTATTTTTAGTCGGATTTGAAATCTCAAAAGTCGATTTTTTGCGATGACAGTGGTCTTGCGTTTGCCATACAATCGGGTTTGCGGGCTTTTATTTTCGTCTCTGAAACGTTTATTTCGAGATGGAAAAAATATCTATTTTGTTGGTAATATCTGGACGGAAAAAAATAAAAGCATGTTCGACACGCTTCGAGGAGAAATTGGAGATAAATATAATCCGACATTCCAACATATTAACCCTAAAAGTTTCATAAAGCAAGCAATTCTTTCAGTAAATGAAACGAAGATACAATTTGAGAGTCACATTATAAAGCAGAACTTTCCCAGATTTATATACTTATCATTTGTTACTGATATAAAAAACAATAATCTATGTATAGAGCAAATCAACGTATAAATAGACATTACTTTTTTGCTCTTCCAAAAATGGCGTTTAGTGTGAAATTAGACTTGTATGGCAAAGAAACTATATAAGTCTAATTACTTTACAAAACAAAACAAAAACAAAGAGGGATTCATTGGTCAATATTTGTGGGGTTTTGACATTTTTGTCACAAAAATAAACATAGAACAGATTTTGCACGAAAAAATATCTTGGCTGAAATAGGAGTTCACATTTTAGAAAAAGTTACCATTGTAAAACCAAATTGGTTGCGCCACTTCGCATAGTTACTTTCATTCGACGCATATACAAATCAAGTTTAAGCTTTGATAACGCTCGTCGTGTGAATGGTTAATAATTACTACGCTTAATATTTTCACTTCAAAGCTCGCGGATATTATCAAAAAAAAACAGAAAATAATTGGTTTTGTCACTAAAAATCTTAGTAAGTAACACTTTTAATGTCTTCAATTGCTGTTAATGATATGTTACTCATGGACATTTTATATTATTTAATATTAATAATTTATATTAATTGTATTAATTGTTTCAATTTTTTTTTAAATTCGAAAAATATTATTCATTGCTATTGCTGAGACTTCATAATAAAATAAAAATTTTTTCAAAAACACTTTGAAATATTGAAATATAGTTATTTTAATTTATAAATTAATGTTTTGTTATAAACAATACAGTGAATTGTCTTATATTATATATTATATTATAAACTCATCTTTTTAACAAGTTTTTATAACACTTTATCTTGTTCAAAATTTAATCACAATTTTACAAATATTTTCAAACTAAACTCCTCAAAAGTACAAAATTTCAATAATTATAACTTTTTTGAAGTTGAAGGACGTAATATTCATTTACCCTTTATTACAAGTAAAAATTGTGTGATGTCAGGACATTGCATTTCGCTTTCTATAATAAAGCTGTTCTTTTTAACTCAATTTTATTTATTTTCACTCATTGTTTTAGGTTATATTTTATTGTTTCTCATTTCAAATTAACATTTTTAAATTTATTAAGTCATAGAAATTGAATATTTCATTAACATACAAAATAGTGCATAATAGTCGTATGCTTTCAAACGTTTTGACTTAAAAAAGAACTTGTAATAAACGTATAAACTGAACCCAATAACAATAAAATAACAATTAAATTAAATAGAGTTGTACTTTATAAAATAAAGAAAATAAAATCATATGATGTTTATTAACGTATTTTTTAAATTTGTTTATGCCTGACTTTGATTATATTTTCATAACATAAATATACTTTAAAAACTAACTTTAAACTCACACTTATCAAAAAAAACGATTCACAAAATAACAAAATGTCTGTGATAATTGATGTTGTGACAATTGAAAATTAGAACAATAAACATGTGTCATCCATTTAAAATTCAAATCAGTTTGATTGAGATTATAATTTTAAACAATTTCATATATTTTGTTTTAATTATTATTCAATAATAAATATTTATTATTTAATTTAAACAATAATAATGTAACTGTTTAAAAATTTTACAAAAAATTTGAAAAATTTATCAAAGTGATTACAGTTGGTCCATTAAACCTTAGCCCAGGAAATTAACCTTAGCCCAAAGAAAAACTAATTTATTTCTATTGTTATATTAAAATAATAAACTATACCGATATAAAAGTCAAATTTCGAAAATATTTGTTTTTTTAGTAAAAACCCGTGTTTTTAAAGAAAAATATAGGAATTTCTTTGGGCTAAAGTACATTTCCCGGGCTAAGGTTCATTTTCCCTACTGTAACAATCACCGATCGTAATCAGATAAATTTTAATTATTTCTATATAATAAACTTGCCATTTTTATTAATTTAACATCGATGAAGGTAAAAAAAATACATCATTATGTTATTAAAATAATTTTTATTTATTAATTATAATATAAATATTAATAATTACATTCACTTATAGTTTAATATCTAAATAAATGATTAATTTTATTTATAACTATTAATAATAATTCCCATATTTTTATTGTAAATCTGACTGTTTTTTGTAATATTACCTTTAATCATTTTTTTTGTTGTTTCCTCGAAAAAATCGGAGTGGATCTCTCATTATTTTTGCTCTAATCAACGACCTTTTCCCTTATCTAATCACAAACAAAATATGCGAAAAAGGGAAAAACATCACATGTATTATTCGATAAAAATTATATGTCATATCGGGAAAAGAATCCAACAGTTCTCCCAATTGAGATTTTCGAGGCAAAAATTGATTCTCTTTTTCTTTTGAAGGATACACAAACCCTTTATGAGCTTGAAGAATCGATTCCTTTAAACCTTGTGCAGGAGACGCAAAACTGTTAGAACACATGTGCTTTATTTGCGACCTCGAGGCAGCTTTTTCTCAGCTCCACCCCTCAGATGAGCGAATGCAGACGAAGGTCGAAGAGGTTGTGAACGTACTCACACACCTTTTCGGGATACTTTTTGCCATCTTCCAATGGGTGATGTTCTTCCGCTATGGGCATCGACGAAACTTTTCAAAAATACAGTTCGCTGCACTTTCATCTTTCTGCTTTTGTTCTTTCCTCCTTTACTTTAACTCGACGGTGTATCACTTAATGAATTTCGTTATACCGGACTCGTACTGTATTCGATACTTCTTCCAAAGACTCGACCACATTTCAATATACATCATGATCGCAGGGTGTTACACTTGCTTTATCCTTACAAGAACGTTTGCAAAAGGGTGGAACAAAATGGGATTTTTGGCTATTTTTATCATCTTTGCGATGGCTTTGGGTGGCTTTGCATTGACTCTTGTAGCTCCCCCTACCACGAGAACAGATGTTATCATGTACCTTGCTATGGGGTGGTCGTGCATCATATATGGGCCTGCTGTTGTTTACTTCTGCCCATACCCTCTCATTTTCTACTTGTTTAGTGGAGGAGTGTCATACGCAATTGGCACCATATTTGTTTCGTGGGATAAACTAGTTTGTTCTACTTCAAAATTACTATTATATAGAATTTGTTCTACCCATATAGACCCAAATTGTTGATTTTATTTTTAGTATAATATGCTTAATGATAACAGGTAATTACAATAGCTCTTCTATGACATTTAACACACTCATCTGCAGTTTTTTAATCACGGAATTTGGCACATGGTTGTTTGGTTCGCGAACTTCCAACACTCACTTGCTGTGTTGATTGCTACCGACGACGAGAACGTTGTTGGGTTTGCGAGACCATGGACTTTGATGAAAGAACTATTTCTTGAGTTCATCGGAAAAGCCCCAAACACTCCAGTCATGAAAAAGACTTCTGTAAAGATAGAAGAATGATCACTGTAATTCAACCATAATTGAACTATAATCGAAAGAACATTTACAACACGCTTTATAGTTATTTTAGATACTTCTAAATAGTTTCTGAATAATAAAAAAGACTTAAAAAATTTTTCACTTTGAAAAACATTTTAAAAATGAGAATAACAAGTAATTTATTCATTAGAAATGCTTTGTGAATCTTTTCAAATCATGGGGACATGTTACTATAATTAATAGTAAAAGAAGTTATATCATATAGTACAAAAGAAAGAAGAGTAAGAGGAATGAAGAGATCCAAATGAATGTATCTCAAAATATTAAACACCAATGGAGCCAAATATCTCCAAGCTGTTCAAAGAACACGACTTTGACAAAGATGGACTTCTTAGTTTCCAAGAAGCGGTTTTGGCTGTGAAACCCGAAGACGCAGCTACGGACTGTAATGAGTTTCTGCAAAACTGCTTATTAATTCTTGACACTGACGATGACAACAAAATCACTTCAAAACAATTCAAAACGTTTTATGAAATCAATAAACAGGCAAAAACAGCAAAGACATTGCAAAAACTCAATTTCCCAAACGCGGAGGTGCCATTTCCAGAAACAGACAAATTACACCTGTACTTCACATGCTTTGAGAAAAACAAGAAACTCCAAATATCGTCGGCGCAAATACTGCACTGGGCAAGAAAACTCAACAATCTTCAAACAAAAGTGTTTGTCGAGACTTCCTTGAGAAACTTGACTTCAAACTTTTGTAACGAGGAAACTTTTGTCAATTTTTTTATAACACCAGACGCATATATCATGGAATTCTGCCCAAAATATATTAAGGTCTTCCAAGAAATCGACCTTAACAAGAACGGGAAGATCGATATCCATGAAGTGATGTACCACATTTCTAAACTCTTTGCGGTGCCGGAAACTATGAGAGACTTTTTCACTACTGTTGTCAGCTTGTGGACTCCGACGGCGACAGTGAATTGAACTTGGTTGAGTTTGTGAAGTACTGCTTGGCACTCAATAAACTGTTTGAGTATGCCCATGGGGGTGAGATCACAAAGGATCACATGCTAATGGTGTTGTACGAATTGGTTGATATCGATGGGAGTGGGCTTATCGACAAACTCGAAATGGAAAGATATTTTGAGGCACTCAAAACTCCTTTGCCTCAGAGGGATATAGTCAGATCGATAATGAAAGAGTGCGGAGGAGTCATTGATTTTCAAGTCTTTAAATATCTTTATTCGTAAGCTTGGGTTGTTCAATGATAGTTTATTTATAATTATATTATAATTTTGATGATTATTACATGTCGATAATTGGCTCCCCGCATTTTTCTATATCTTTCACAATCTTTTTGATTGTTTATTAAATATAACAATAAAATAATATATTTTACTAATTAATATAGTTTATCAATTTGATGAATACCATCCAATACTTTATATACTAAGTAAAAGAGTTCAATAACTTTGGTTCAACTATTTTAATAAGTTTATTCTATAAACTATTAGTAAATGGTATTATTAAACTAATACGCTGAATGATTTGAAGAGGATGAAACGAGTTGGCAAGCAGAGGACGAACTATTTCTTAAAGAAAGTCGAAAAATAACTTTTTCAAAATCCCAAAACGAAGTTAAAAAAGATGTTGACGAAATACAATAAACAAAGTTCTACGAGTCGAAATGGTGAACATAAGTTTTTAAACAAAACGAGTCCAAAAGTTAGGGCTGAAGGGATTCACAATCTTTTAAAAAGTCATAACTCTTAATATAGTAAAATTAACTAATGAATGACTGGCAAGCAATCCAACAACATGCACTCACACTCTACATCAGCAACATATTACAAAGGAACGTCAATATTGTCGATTTGGGTGGCAGAGAGATTATTTCAGTAATCGAATTCTTGTCTGGAGTGAAGCACAAACAGACAAGAGTTCGTGCAAGTGTATGTTCCAAAATGCAAGAGTATGAAGTCGCAAATGAGGCGATAAAATTTCTGAAAGAACAAGGGTTGTTAAGTGTCAGTATTGAGTCGGAGAATATAGTGAACCACGACATCAAGACTTTAACGGCTCTCTTTGTTGAAATTGTGAAAAAGTATAACAAATTGACTCGGAATGAAACGAAAGAAGTTTTGGAATGGGTGAGGAACTTAACAGGTGTCAATACAACAACTTTTAAAGATTGGACTGATGGAACATTGTTGAAGTCTTTACTGAAGTCCGAGCGACCGTTTGAACTCTTCAATTCTCTTGGAATCTGCCGTGTAGTCGAGGATAACAAATTGGGCATTGAGGAATTAAGCTCGACCATGCAAATCAAATTCATCTTCGATAAAAGGGACAACGTTGAAATGCATCGGTTCGAAGTCAACCAAACCAACACCGCACGAACAGTTATTGTACAAACGGCAGAGATCATAACAGATGATTCGTCGGAGACAACACAAAACAACAAAGATGTATTTTCACAAACTGCCGATCCTAAAATAGAAATAGACCTTTCATGTTCATTACACAATCAACGGGAATTATTGGAGGAAAACTCGGAAAAAAATCGGGATATGCCGGTAACTGAAAACCAGTTACTAAAAACAGCCGATTTGGGAAAAACTCAAAAAAAGGAAAATTACTTACAATTCAATAAGGAAAAACAGCACGAAAATAGAGAAGAAAACGGGCAATGGACCAATACGTACAAGTCAATACGTTTTCATCTTGGTGAAGTAAAATCATTAACTAAAAAGACAGCCCAATCAAAAAACGGGAAAGCTGGAACTGTGAGTGAAAACACTATGGATGCTGAGGGGAGGACGAACAACGATATTGAAAAGTTGACACCTGGGTTTGTGAATGAGAGTGAAACGACAGAGGAGGATGAAGACACCTGTGAATTTGAGATAGAGGATATCGAAGTCGACGAGTTTGGAAAGGAAGAGATCAAAGCTGCCCGCACGAGAAAGTTACAAGAGATCGAAAGAATGCGAAATGATGAGAACAAAATTGAGAAGCCGACAAGCCAAGAGTACATCAACGTGTACTCAATCCAACAACAGATGATTGAAAAGTCGGCGGCGGATTACCTTGACAAAATTCAACCCAGCGAAACAGCAAAAGACAGCAGCGAGCAAATTGAGAAGTCGGAGGAGTCCAAAGAGACACAAACCGAAATAATCAAAGAAGTGAAAACACCAAAACTCACAAAAATTGATAAAATGATGATTGCACAAGAAAAGAAACGGCGGCTCCGCGACGTCAATTGTTTGGTCGATCGATACATTGACAATATCAAGGAGTGGGTGGACGTGAGCAGTTACACAATCAAATACGACAGCTCAAAACATGGGTTAACATCTCTTGCGTTCAACACAAAAACAGCGCGGTGTCCAAACCTTATGATACTTGTCATCACCACAGAAGGGTTGTCCTTTGGTTGTTTCAGCCACAAAATTTTCCCCCGCAGTCCAAAAAAAGGGCACTCTTATGTGAAGAACGACAACGACTTTTTCATCTTCTCGTTCAACACAACCGCCGGCGAAAATCCTCTCAAGATTAAGCGAAAGAAAAAAGGGAAAAGTGTCTCGGTGTGGAGCCAACACTCAAGAAGTGTGGTGTTTTCAATCAAACGATTCGTGACAATTAACCAGAAGGACCAACAGTCAACTTTTTGTAAAGATCTGTTTGAGTCTGAATACGAAGACGTTTCAAAGAGGGGAGTTGTGGCGTTCACTGGAAGACTTGCTTTCGATGTGGACAAAGTTGTTGCTCTTGAGTGGTCGTAGTGTATCTATATGTTTTAATTCTTTTTATTATTTAATACTTATTTGATTGTTAATTTAACAACTTATAATTTTATTATATTTTCTTTACAAAACAATGACTTCCATTTGTATTAGATATTATAGTTAAAAACAAATAAAAAAATTATTAATAAGAATACTTATACGAATGGATTGTTTGCAATATAGTAGAAATAATTAAATAAATAGTAAAAAGGGTAAAGCTAATGAAGAGGAGGGTATTTAACACAAAATAGTCGGAACTCGATTGTCACAGATGTTCTGCCTTACTAAAGTCAAAGAGCTCAGCCTCGACGTTCTCAAGACCAACATCAGCAGAAAGCACAAGTTCGTTGCTGACGGTGTTTTCTATGCCGAGTTGAATGAACTTTTGCAGAGAGAACTCTGTGCCGATGGATACTCCGGCGTTGAGATCAGAAAGAACGCGAACAAATTCCAAATCATCATCAGAGCCACCAGAGCTTCCAACATCATCGGTGACAAGGGAAGAAGAATCAGAGAGTTGACCTCCCTTATGATCTCCAGATTCGGATTCAAGAAGAACTGCCTTGAACTCTTTGTCGAGAAGGTTGCCTCAAGAGGACTTTGCCCAGTCTCACAGGCCGAGTCTATCAAATACAAGATTGCCGAAGGTGTCCCAGTCAGAAGAGCCGTTGGTTCAGTCATGAAACTTATTATGGAATCCGGTGCTCTTGGATGTGAAGTCGTTATCTCTGGTAAGTTGAGAGGACAGAGAGCCCAACACATGATCTTCAAGGAGGGATACTTGATCAAGTCAGGAAACGCCACCAGACAATTCTACGCCTCTGCCATCAGATGCGTCTTGTTGAGAATGGGTATCATTGGTATCAAGGTCAACATTATGCTCAACACCGACCCAACTGGAAAGACCGGACCAGCAGCCAGAATTCCAGACGTCATTGAAATCAAGACTCCAAAGGACGAAGTTTCATGGGTCAAGACTTCAGTCGTTGCTGCCAACGCAAAGAAAGAGTAAATCTACTTCGTAGGGTTGCATTTTGGTTTTTGATTTTTTTATTGTATTTATTCTAATAACGCTGTATTAAAATTCATTAGTAATATTTATTATAATTGTTTATACATCACTATATGAATAATCTACACTTTTTTCTCCATTCAACGATTTATTGTGTGTTTCTTTCTCTCTCGTTGTAATGTAAAGTTGTCATGTGTGTAACTCTGAAGTGAATAAACATAAACTGTGTTAAAAAGATTGATTATTTTTTAGGTGGATATTGTTGGGGTGGGTAGCCTGGTTGTGGGTACTGTCCGTATTGTTGCTGTGGTTGTTGAGCGCCTGGATATTGTTGTTGGTATTGACCTGGTTGTTGAGGAGGATAAGCTCCCTGTTGAGGAGCAGATTGCCCGGGTTGCATTTGATATTGTTGAGGAGGATACCCTTGAGGTGGGTAAGCACCTTGTGGTTGTTGTCCGTACTGTTGAGGTGGATATCCCGGTTGATTATATTGTCCTTGAGGTGGATATGTTTGTTGTTGGTAAGCGCCTTGTTGTGGGGGGTACTGGCCTTGAGGAGGATATTGTTGGTATTGTTGAGGGGGATATTGTCCTGGTTGTTGTGGATATTTTTGTTGTTGACCTTGAGGAGGGTATTGCTGATATTGTTGTTGTGGAGGATACTGTCCTTGGGTTTGTTGAGGTGGGTATTGTGATTGTTGTTGAGGGGTTTGTTTTTGTTGTGTTTGGTTAAGCTCAGCGGTGTAAGTCACCGTCAAAGAACCTTTTGTGCTTAACAAGAGTTCGCAATTCTGAGGACCGCTTTGTGGATTAAGAATGACACTGGCATTTCCCATTGGATCATCTTTGCTCTTTTTGTCGAAGTCCATTACTTGAAACTCTGCAGTGGTTCCTGGATAGACATTATTAAATGTGAATGTTTCGTTAAAGACGGGGTTTAGATTCTTCATTACAGTCTTAGTTCTCTGTGAATCAGGACCAATAGAAACAATCACGTATGGATCTGATGAGAGCAGATCTTTCTTGGGGAGCTTAGTTCCTCTAACAACAGTGATTTTAACAGTCATTGTACCCGCTCCTCCATCTTGTTTTTGAGCTTGTGGAGCAAATGGAGAGAAATAAGCCATTGAATGTATAATTTTCAGATGATGGTATGAAGTAGGGAGGACTGCATCTCATTTCTTTTATTGTACCCAATAAAATGGATGTTTTTGGGGTATAAAACAGGCATAAAATAGCTAGAGTTTGAGGCAAAACTCCTTTATTAGTTCCTGTAATTGAAAAACAATAGATAATGTTTTGCTCACATTTTTACTGATAAAGCAAATACAATCAACAATAACATCTACAACTTATTGTTCAACTGTCTCTTTTGTTAATTATAAATGTTTAGAAATTCCTCATTTTTTTTAAATTCGAAATTCGTTTTTTTTCGTTAATGTAAAGTTTTATTTGAAAGGTAAAAAATTACTAAAACAAATAATAACAAAAAATATTTTCAAAAATGAATAATTTTTGTTATTATAATTAAAATAATTTTAAATAATAATAATTATAAATTTATTAATCATAGTTTCTTAAAATAACATTTTTTTGGATTTTTTAAACTCTTTATTATTTTTTATACTATTTATATTATTAAATTATTAATCAGAGTGCAACTATTATTTTAACACCCTTTTTGAAATCACATTGCTTACATCATTTAAATAATAACTAGTCATTGTGTAAAACTTTAAACCAATATTTTTAAATACCTTTTTATATACTTTTTTCAACTTGCATTCATTCTGTTACAATTCACTAAAAGGTATCATCATTTAGTTAATAGGTGAATAAAAAATATAATATTTATTTAATTAAATATTTTTTTGTATAATAAATTGTTTTTAAACACAAAAAGTGATTATATTTTAGTAATATTTTATTATACTTGTTTAAGATTTTAATTAACACTTTTGTTATTATTATTTGAATGAAACTAAGTTATAACTAAAAGTCATTCATTATTACCCGATTTTTAAACTTATAATTTCTAAACTTGAAAAATGAACAAAATGAATTCCCCACTCTTTTCATTTCAAAGAATGGAATTTCCTGGAATTCCTTCATTATTTCTGCCAATTGATGGTGTCCAAAAACAAAATAAAACACTTAACAACGAAAACCCAGCTACCCAAAATACACCAAAAGATGTCAATGAACAGAACACAATTTTGTGTCGAAACGCCACTGATTATGTTTCGGCACATTCACTTCCAAAAGAAACCAGTGATTTAATTATTAGTTTAATCGAAGCACTTAAACAAACAATTCCTCAAACAGAAAACCATGACATCGAACCTGTTCCCGACGTAAATTCATCAAAACAAAATATTCCATTTAACAATGACTTGATTGACCTTTCAAAAGAACAAAGTAAAAAAGAAAAACATATTAAAGAGAACGTTGAAGTTGACTTCTTACCGCAATTCAAAACCGAAATTCCTTCCCTTTTGGCTCAAATCGTACAAAAAAACTCATTCAAAGAGCTGTATTACAGCACTTCATTTTTAAGTCAAAATGTAGTGCACGACGCAATTAGAGGACAAAACAATGTTTGTGTCATAATGAAGACTATTGAAAAAAACATATTTGCACTGTATTTCTCTCAAATTCCATTTAAAGAACAAGACGATTTTGTTAACGACAGGTCATTCCACATGTTTCAGTTCTACAGTAATGGAATACATGTGTTGCGGGGGTGGAAGAGAGTTGGAGATAATTCACAAGCGGGATGTGACTTTTCCAAGGACATGATGAGTCTTGGCGAAATCCTTCGAGTCTTTTGTGGGATAACTCTTTATAAAAACAAGAAAATCGAATTAGATGAAGAGTTTAAACAGTATTATACACCAGAAATTGGGTTTGAAAACACAATGGAAACTGATATGGATAAAAATGGAAACACCATCTCGGACCTACTTATCGTTCAGCTTTGTTAAATCACGTCTTGTTCAATTTACAGAATTTTGTCTCTTAAAAAGATTTAATAAATTCACTTGACATACGTTATGTTTTAAATTAGAGCAATTAAATAGTTGAAATAATTATATTTATTAATTTAAATATTAATTATTAAATATTAATAATAATTAGTAACTTTTATACTATTTTTATATTTAATAAAACAATCATACTAAAACAATAATTTTTTAATAAAAATATATTATAATTATTATAAAAAATTATCTTTTTTTACTAATATTTACTATATAAGTATAGTATAATTATCAATAAGTCATAGCAATAATTTTAAAAAGTTAGAATTAATGTCAAAAAAAAGTATGTTTAAAAATGTTTATTTTGTTGATTATCCCGTTTTTTTATTTGCAATAAAAAATAACAAAGGAAAAAATTGTTTAACAGTATCTTTTAATTTTTACAAGTAGTTTTTTTATTAATAAAAAAATCTATACACTAGAAAATGAATAGTTTGATTTATTATTTAGATAAAAAAAGTGGATTTTTTTGAAATATTTTAAACACTTTTTTTATATCCGAAATATTGAACATTATTTTTTCTTCAAAAAAAACAATCACTTTACTCAAGTTGGTGTTTTTTTCTTGTGATAAATGTTTTTGCACGAAAAACTTATTACCAGTTTTCATAGTTCACAAAGGTATGTATAGAACTAATTCAACAATAATAATTTACTATTCAAACTACTAAGTAGACTGAACTGAAAAAAAGTAGTTGAGTATGTCTCAAACGGTCAACTATAAAATTATTCTGCTCGGATCGGGGTCAGTGGGGAAGTCCGCGATCGCTGCCCAGTATGTGAAAAACATGTTCCTCAAAAAATACGAACCGACAATCGAGGACATATCAAACAAAACAATTGAAGTTGATGGTATAATGGTTCACCTCGAAATTTTCGACACAGCAGGCGCGGTTTGTTTCTTGCACGACTTCCATCACCAAAACAATATTTATAACTGACATCAAGGATCAATTTTTAACAATGCAAGATTTGTATATCAAAGAGGGTGATGGGTTTATATTAGTGTTCAGTTGGGCATCTGTTGGGACTTTCCAAGAGTTAGAAAAGATTCTTCAGCATGTGATTGACGTGAAGGAGTCGATGAAACAAACCGACATCCCAATAGTCATTGCAGGTAACAAGTGCGACTTAGAAGAAGACCAAAAAACAGTGACGATGGTCGACGCTCAAGATTTCGCAACTAACAAAAAGTGTATGTTTATGGAGACGTCCGCAAAAACAACCAAAAACATCAGCGAGATGTTCGAACTTCTCGCAAAAAAACTCCTTGAAAAAAGAAAGCCCATGAAAAAGTCTCATCACTGCACCTTGCTGTAAATCACTCGATATTTTTGTTATGCTTAGGGTTTGACCCCTGCCTTACAAAACAATTGCTAAAACATTACAATACCTTTTTAACCTATTTGTAAGCTTCTTTATTAGTAATGGTTTATAAATACAATTGTGTCGTGGCATTTTATTATTTCTGTTTTGTATCGAAGCTCTTGACCACAAACCAAATAGAGTTGTTTACTCCGAAACAATCGTCGCGGTATATATCTGCCACTTAACCTTGGGGTTGTTAAATACATCTACAGATGTACTAATACCAGCTTTGTGATACGCGCAATGAGTGCAGAAAGTCTTTGTGTCCCATCCTTGTTCTGTCGCAACTTGTGGAAGATACGTCCCTCTATAATACCCATATTGCACCCTGATGCCATGTTTACCAGCAATCACTTCTTTGAGGGGGTCTTTTGTGTCTACAGATGGCGACAAACAAGACACAGAAATGGTGGTTTTGTCATACTCTTCGACTGTCATTCTATCAAATCTGCTATCGTTACAAGCACAAACGGCGTACTCTTGAATCAACTCATACACCGGCTTTTCAGGTGAAAAGCATCCAATACATCCCCTCAGTTCTCCCTTGATTTTGAATGTTACAAAAACTCCTCCCGGTATCATAGTCAGATTCGGTGTTGTGCAAATCTCGCTGTAGTCCTTTTGTTTCTTTCTTTCTATCTCTGCTCTTCCGGACTCTCTTGCTATTTGAAGAATTAACTTCTTTTCTTCTCCACTAAATTCTATCGTCGTCATTGCACTAACTAGTTCAGTTTTCGTTTACTATAAATATACTATATGAAGTTATAATTGTTAATTCTATTTATAGATTCAATAAGTACATAACAATTAAACTATATTTCTATTATTTCTATACAACCACTACCATTCACCTGACTCCTTTCGGAGATTTGGAAAGAGCTTCGCCACATTAGTAACATTAAAACTCGTGTCGGTTCTCAGAGTGGTGACCCACTGATTTGCCCACTCTTCAAGTTGGTGTGGAAATGAGATGTACAAGTTGTCAATTCTCAAATTCTCAAAATTGTCGATTCGGTCGCAAATGCCGATGATCAGTGTCTTGATATGTTTTGGAAATACAAAAGAATTCGAACACGCGTTATTCAGTGCAAGTTGTTTCAAATTGGACAACGACGAGATGTCGATTCTCGTGTCCAACGTCCACAGTTCCAACGTTTTGATACTTGTCGGAAGTAGTGGGGTGCTACTTCCCGAGTAAAACAACTTTTCTACGTTAAACCGGTTTAGTGAATTTTCCCATAACACAGAGTCCACCAATTTCATTTCACTCAGACAGCAATTTTGACTCGCCATTTTTATAAAGTGATCGTCCAAAGCCATTTTTTCAATATGAAGTGATTTCAACGAACTTGGGAATGACACCCCAGCATGATAGAAACATTGGAACAAATCAAGTGCAGTGAGTTTGGTGAGCATTTCCAGCGGTGGAATCTCAAGCCGAGCCAACTTGAGTTTCTCCAACTGTGTAAACGCGGCCACACCCACAAAGCGACTTTCTGTGAACAACCGAATGACATTGTTTTCCTTTGGTATGATATCAATTGTGGCGTTTTCCTTCAAAATCAATTGTTCGACAGAAGCCGGCACTGTATCTGCCTTCCCTTTCAATGTGAATTCTATGAGGTGCATCAAATTCTTTAATACACAATACGCATCACACAAACACTCCAACGAAGTCAACTGTCCAAAAGCAGACATGTTAACTTTAGCATGTCCAGACACTCCAAAGAGTGTTATTTTACTCGGCAAATACAACTTTTCTATTCTCTTGTAACGCATTTTGGAGGTTTTACAGTCGAAAGTTAATTTGCCTTTTTCAAACTCCACAACTCCTTTCTTCAAGGTGGACGCGTTCATTGTCTCAAAGACAATGTTCGCAAACTTTCCGATTTTTCTTATTTGCTCTCGGTTCGAGAGTTCTGAAAAGGAAACAACAACCACCTTCGTAGCAAA